ATCCCAGCCGCATCTCGGAAAGGGCGCTGGCGAATTGTATTCCGTGGTGAGACGTGTCGGCGCACCTGCGCTCCTCGGGAGAGCTTTTCATGCTTCGGACATTGAACTCAACGGTAGAATTATGGAGAAGAAGAAGAAGAATCATCATCCTCTCCGCCTTCGCCACATGAGCGGTGCTATGTCTCTATAAATAGCGCTAAAGCCCTGGGGCAGGCCAGCCTGAGCGAGGCCGCCCAGCAAACACAGTAACTGTGACTCCACCAACAACCCCACCCCCCCCGACACACACACACACACACACACACACACACACACACTCCTGCACTGCTCTGCTGAATCAAGGGCAACGTTAACCCTCCTTCAGACGCTGCAGACAATCAGCAACAAGCTGAACAATGCAGACGAGGTGGGGGACCAATCAGCATCCAGATGTGTCATCCACAACACAAACCTGGTCTCCTGCATTCATTCAGGCGGCGTAACCCAAAGCAGGATCCAAGCCCCTCCAGGGACACAAGCAGCGTCCTCCTAATTGAAGGTGTGTTTAATTGATCAGATAATCACACAGAAGCAGCGCTTTAAATCTGGCGTTCAATGTGTTGAAAATAAACGACTAATCGACTATGAATAAAAACGGACGATTAGTCGACTAGCTATAGGCGCACGCAGCTTCCCCTCACGCGACAGGTACCGAAGGAAGCGCAATGGGACCCGTCTCACGTGCTGGAACCGACGTGGTCACTTCAAACCACGCGGCCAACCGTGGGCACTAATCTGCTTCAGCCGCCCTCCGCTTCTCTGGTTTTCAGGCTTTGCTCGAGACTTTGGAACCGGGGCCGCGGGGGGATTTTCTCCCATTACGCCACGAGAGCATTAGTGAGGTCCAACACTTTGACAAAGGCGTCGGGATCACGACTCTGGGCCTCCATTTAAAATCAATGCAGATGCATAGCGTGCCGTCTCTCGCCGCCCTGCAGTAGATTTGGTGGCTGATGAAAAGCATCACTGACGTTTGCCTCCCTCTTGCTCCGCAGACTTGCTGCTTCCCATTAATCCTCAGGGATTTCCGCCGGATTGAATGACCCCCGACCCCGACGCCACCCGCCGGCGGCGACCCCTGTGATGGCCCCCTCGTGAGCGCGGTGCATCCCTCAACGCCGCGTCTAGCTCGTCCCTCCCGCTCGTTTCTTCCCCTCTTCTGTGGCAGCACGCGCTCGTGTAGCCCGCTGGTTTGGTTCACCACCCGACACACACACACACACACACACACACACACACACACACACACACTGAGGCTTCTGCAGGACAACGTGCAGAGGGAAAAAACATGTCCGTCAACCACTCGTCCCTTTAATGTGGTCGATCGAGGAGCTTATTGTGCAGCTCGAGCGCAGTGAGCCACCTCCTGCGTAGCCGGGAAAACACTTACAGTTGGCTTACTAGCGGCGCCCTGAGCGCCGCCGGCGGAGACTCCTGATCTCCGGGTCACAGGAGGCCTCTACATCACAAACGCACCTCTGGACATTTAATACCATTACCAGGAACCAATTTACGGCGCGCGACACGTGGCGGGTTCCCCTCCGGGGATCGGGGGCGCTGTGATGTACTTCTCCGTGCACCCACTTCTTCTAACGGTAGTGGTCTTTGTTGAATCCCGTCACGTCACGCCTGATTCTGCGCCCCTGATTCTGCGTTAATGACTGTGAAACATGACATGTGCGTGGTTGCGCCCCAGCTGAGAGGCGCGATCGGTAACGGTTTAGAGGGAACCGGTTTACCGCACTGCCGTGCACCGATGACAACAACACACAAAAGGTAGAGGTGACTAATGGTTCACTCTGATGCGTTCTCCTTCCACAAGTCTCATCGGGTTGGTTTTCGTCACGTGATCGAACGTGGAGGAATGTGCGAGGCGCAACGTAAAGCCAGCAGCGGCGTCACGGAAACCGGGCCACGCGCCTTTGTGACGTGGAAGCGCCCCATGTGTTCTTAGGGTGTTGTTTATCGATTTAACTAACCAGGAGAGGTAATCAGAGCGGGTGTCACGCCTCCTGACTGGGTATTAAATCATAGTACGCGGTGATCTAAAACTGTGATTAGCATATGTCGATATTCAGGATGGTGTCATCCAGCATTCATAGCTGTACCTGCAAAAAGTATTCTTGCACGTCGAACCAGGGAGCACAAAGACGACTAAATCACGCACTGGGGGGGTCAACGGGGGAGTGTTAAAGTCATGTTAACTGAGGGAATAAATGAAAAGAGAAGTCTGTGCTTTCCCATAGACTTCAATGGGACCCCCGGTGGACACTCGGGGGAATGCAGCTTTAACGCGTTTCACTTCACTCAGCAGAGCCCAGGAGATTTCCTTCCGCGTAGACTCCAGTATCTCAGTTGTTTGCACAAACTTTGTTCAGCATAGTTAATCATTGCCTACAGCGAGGCATCAGCTCCAACCCCCCCACCACACACACACAGACTTTGTATTCATGAAGGGATCTTTCCTGCTGATGCCCTGCCCAGGAATGTACAGCTGACCCTGCGCTCACGTCTACCGCCCAGCTGATCACACACACACACACACACACACACACACACACACACAGATGCTCAGTTGTTGTGCCTCTGTGGTGCAGAAGCAGTGCCCTGCTCTTGGTTAACTACACCACCATTACGGCACAGACTTCAGTGGGACGAGAGGAAATTGATTTCCGCTCCCGCGGCGACGCTGAACATCTATCTGGGTCGAAGGGTGACAGTGAAAAAAACAGAAAGCACCAAAGACGGAGCGCTTCGTGAACGTCTCAATTACAAAGCGATTAAAGGCATATCTCTTCTGCTACTTTGAGGTCAATCCTCCCCATCTAAGCTGCTGCAGTTTGCACTATTTTACACGGGTTTGTCCGTACGTGGTGCACCACATAACTTAAAGTAACCACAATGTGATTGAAGGTGACACATTGAAGGTGTATTTCTCTGGACTCAGCAAAGAGCTTCTGGAGCAAAGAGGAAAAATTCTCTCATGAAAGTGATTTCTTTGTGTTTCTGGTTTGTTCAAAACAAACTCTTTCAGCTTCAAAAGGAGACGTCGCGGCAGTAGTCTGGGGAAGGACCTGAGGATAATTAGACCCAATAACAGCGAGAGAGAACAGTGACACAAACAGAAAAATGGGAAACAAGACTCTTCACACTTTCAATGCTTTTTTTTTTTTGTTGCAACTTGACACACAGATCCAATACTAACAAAATACAACGGGACCTGACAGGAAGTCGGACCTCACAAATAGTCACAAAAAGCCATCTATTGGTTTGCCGTCCGTGGACAGTTTTATAAGTAATGCCGACGGAACGTCAATGAGGAGTCTATTTGCGGTGGACACACATAAATAGTCAGTGACACTTTTCCTGAACCTCGTTTTCTCGCCGGTAGCTTTAGTCACAAATGTCCTATTTGATTCCAACTGTATTCAGCGGGAGTAATGACAACAACGGCATTGCACTCTGACTGATGATTAACAGCGGTTGCTTTGTTTAAAAACGCCGGCGAAGCGGCTCACAACGTTGCGGTTTCCTCTGCGCGGAGTCGAGATGAAAAAGCCTCCCTTGAGTGGTCAAGTCATACGTTCGCCCTTTCCGCCTGAAACGCTTTGACCTTCCTCACACATTTTACAGACACTCACTCAGGGGGGGGGCATGCTAACCCGCTAGCATGCGCTAATCCACCTTGAAGTGGGGCAGAAAAGACACTGAAGAGAGGAGGAAACTAAGTGGCGTTAACACTGACAAAGTTGTTAGCGTTGTCCTCGTTAGCGTAGCTAGCCATTCAAGTTCAAAGCCAGCGTGAGAAAACGGCTTCTTGAATTATTCCCTCAATAAACGGAGAACATTTACAGAGTCAGAGTCTCTTCTCGTCAGTCCAAATATGGTTAACGGGGTGCACAAAAAAATAACACATAATAACTAAACTACAAAATGGAGAATGCAATATTAAGAAACGCAATGGTTCTACACAGTACGCAAACCACGACTGCAATCGATTCTCAATATGTTAAACAAAGTTCAGATTTGCTGCAGTGGAGTCTAAAACAAAATCCCAGTGAATCAATTCCTCAATCAAGTCGTTCAAAATATTTTCGAATGGAGTGTTCAATATTCTCAGTTTCCAGCTTCCAAAAAAAAGGGGGTTTAGTTACTGTTGGTTGGAAACATTTGAGAGCTTTGGTGGGCTTTGTCCTGCCCTTCATCCGAACAATAAAACAATGTGATAATACATAAAGATGATTGTGGCCCTCAGGGTGAAGATCGGACTGAGCTAAATATTAAATTCAATGTGCCACCCATGCACATACGCAGGTCAAAGTTCACTCATTGTATTGAGGAGGTGGAAACGTGCGCACTCAACTGTCTCCAGCATCTTCCGCTAATAAACAGACAGAAACGCGCGTCCGCTGGATGGATGCCGCGTCCCGCTTCGACCCCTTTTATTCACCCGGCACCTCCGTGACGTCACCGCGCGTCGTTGGCGGAGGCTGCCTCCCAGGGTTCAGAGTGCGCGCGCGCGCGCGAGCGTCCGTGCGTGCGTGCGTGTGCACGCGTGTGCACGCGCCCGCGTGTTTCGATGAGAGGCTGCTGGCCCTTTAAAAGCTAAGATGGTGTCCTGCAAGCTGCCGCTCCGTGCCTTCCGTTTCCCTTCCTGGCTGTCAGAGATCACACGGCGTTTCCAATTGAACCTGAAGTAACCTCGCGCACACGAACGCGCAAACACGCGCACGCAGAGAGACGCACGGACACACGCAGGGGGGGGGTCCGTGTTGACACTGGAAATGACGTGTTTCTTAAAATGCAACAATGTGGCCAAACTCTGCCCATCAATTGTAAAATAAACTGCCCGTCTCCAAGGATACGAGGTAACATCCACATTCGGCACATGTGGCGCTGACAACTCGGCCCGCGTGCACGCCGATCGTCCACATTCGGTCATTGCATTGACGTGCACTTACTTTCTTGTTACGGGTCTCCGTGTGCATCTCGGTTGCCGGAGCGGTGCAGCGGCGGAGGGGTGGAGCAGCAAGAGCAGGAGGGGGTTCGGTCGGGGGCTTTTGGGTGTAGCTCTATCTGAATACGAACTGGTGGAGGGAGGGAGATAGGGGGGGGGGTTGTTTTGGAGGGTTGGGGGGCTAGTTTTCCACCTTTTCACAGTCAAATCCAGGGAGGGGGGCGGTTAGGGGGGGTCCAGGAAACACGATCCCTGCCTCTTCCAGTGTTGCTTTTCAGTTCATATCCGCAGCGTCGAAGGCTCCCGTTGCTCCCCCCAAAAAACAGCCGGTCTCTCGGAGTCTGTGTGTCTCTGTGTCTCTGTCTCTCTGACGGCGGTGTTGTTGCCGTGTATTCAAGGGCTGGGCTCTCTCTCTCTGCCTTTTTCCTCCTCCGCCTCTCCCTGCTCGTGACCCCACCCTGCGTCCCCACCCCTCATCTCTCCGTCAGTCATGAGCTGCGCAGCCCTGCAGCCCTGCAGAGGAGCGCAGCCACCGGGCCGACCACCGGACCACCGACCACTGACATCGCATCGCGGGGGGGGGGATTTATTAGCTGCACGGATCTATCGATGCGTTGTTGCAGCGGCTTAATGCTCCGGGATGGTGGTGGAACAGAAGCACCTTACTGACCTCAGCCAGTAGGCTAATTGAGGACACTCTGGGTGGGGAGGGTGGGAGCGATTTAGAGTACACATCCAGTAAGGCTTTGCAGCATAACATTAGATATGAGACCATGCACACAGCCAGCCCGGGGAAAGAGATGAAGGGGAAGGCAGCCAAGCTGATGATCGACGTGGGGTTATTACCACACCCTTTGTAATAAAGCAAGGTGTGGTGCGTGGAAACCTTCTATTCTTTATTGGGTATTTCACAACATGAAACATAACAAGGAGCAGCGTTGTAATGTGGACAGAGAGAGCAACGCGGCCAAAGAGCTGAGAAAAATACACAGTCAGATTATTCACTTTGTATTTGTTAGTTAGTTTCTGCACCAACAATACACTTGTTTTTTATTGTATTATCTTTTAACCTCAAAACTCAACAAAAAAAATGAAGCTGTAGCATTATTTTCTTGAAGTGTAACCATGAAACGTGTCTTTTAAGTCGTTATTGTTCACGTATTTGTGAGTGCGTGTGTGTAACTACACTTCCCATGATGCCCCGCGCCGGAAGTCCGGGCGAAGCGTAAGGCGGAAGCATGCGAAGGTAACGTTCAACAGATCCGTCATCAGCGGCATATTTTAGCAAATGTTAATGTATACGGCCGTTTTTAATCAGCCGTGTTTGGTTCGAGGTGAACTAAGTTTCAGGACGTCACGTAGCTACTACGTCGGTCGCTCGAGCTGCATCCGGCACCGCTGTTGTCATGGAGATCGCGTTAGCTGCAGCTAACGTCCGCTAGCTGCCCCGTGTTGTGTTCGTTGACTTTACGAGACGTTGAGCGGGACATGTCCCGGTTCCGTGGAGCGTGTCCCCTTCGCATGCCGTCGCAGTCCAGTTTGTTTGCCCTCTTAGGTCCCAATGTGTCCCACATACTGGTCTTTAATGATATTAATAATTTGAAATAAACAGCGTGACAAACGGAAGTGCGTTAGCGCATCAAAACACAACCGTTACACCGCCTTCCTCTTCTTGTAGCTTACGCCCGTTCTGAAGACGCCAAACACTTTTATAAAGAAACAATTGATTAAATTATTAAAAACGTTACACCTAAAAACTTTTTTTACAATTGAATATTTGTCGACCAAAATACCTTATATTTATTATCTCAATGTTCTATAATGTGATGATTAGCTGTTTTTTCCCAATTTGTAAATATCTTTAAACATACAATACTAAATTGCTGTCAGACAACACAATGAAACGCAGGCTTCATGAAATTAGATTGGGCATTTTTCACTATTTGAATAAGCTGAAAAAGTCATCTGCAGATGAATAAGTGATGGAAATCATCTTTAGTGGCAGCCGTGTCATCATCCCTCCCGAACCTTTGGCAGGCCCTCTGCACCGTATGTGTCCACCAACCGGCCGAAATACTGTCCCACCGCTCCCTGCACGTGTCCTGTTCCCCTACTTTCGTCCCCCCGGCGTCTTGACCCCGTGTCCCCTGTGTCGGTCAGGGTGAGCCGGCAGCTGTGTGAGGACGGCCCGCTGCTGGAGGAGCAGGAGACGGAGGGCCAGCGGCAGCTGCACAGCCTCCTGCTGCAGCAGCTCCACACCGGCGTCGACATCGACCGGTGAGCATCTCCTCAAGAAGGAGACACTTCAAGCCAAACCTCCTAGATAATACTCCTTGTGTTATTTTCCATACGGGTTCACAGCCCAGAAGGATTTAGCACTGTATTATTCACTGTACTGACTGATGTAACGTTACATTGTGACATTAGCACCATGTAGGAAACCTTTTTGACGATAAATCCTGCTAGCAAGCATAGCACTTCTCCACTCCACCAAAAAGCGCCCATCAAATGCTTGTTACGTATCGTTCACAGCACAGTGGGAGGATTTTCTTTAACAAAAACCTTCTCGACGAATTCTTACTCCTCACTTTAGAACAACATTTAGGATTTGTGTTTGCACAAAAAGTCTTAACTGTGAATGAACTTGCGTCCTCCAGATGTGTCGCCAAGAGGCAGTGCTTCGCCCCGTCGGCGCTCTATCGGCCTTTTGGGGAACAGGCCGCCGGAGTGAGGAGCCTCTCCGAGTTCCGGGCCCTGCAGGACGGCGAGAAGGACCTGGCCAGCCTGCGGGAGCTCGGCATGACCGAAACGGAGATCCATCTGTGGCGCAGCAGAGACCTGCCGGAGGCGACGGAGAAGGTACGGAGACGTTTTGATACGGTTCTAGTCCTCCCGATACTGACTTGAAGGCTGTGTATCCTGCAGCAGTGCTGTAAAAATGTACTTTTTATTACGCTTCTTCAAAAGGCCGGGTTAGTGTAAGTTTGTCACCAAAAGCTACATTTTACATGATGATGATTTTATAATTAACCTTTGCTTAATACTCATTTTTACTGAATGGAGATTGAACTCATTGTAATGTAACTCAAGGCAGCCGCCATTAACGTCCTTATTTATCCAAGCAGGACGTTGCTGCCCACCGGCTGCTATTAGCTCGCTTCAATTAGCTCGGATTGTTTTTTCCCAATGTGCCATGACCAGGTCTTGTAGTGTGTTGCATGCTCACGAGTTAAAAGCCACAAAAAAAAAAGATCGAATTTACTTCCTTTATATCCTCGTGACCTCTACCCCCCCCCCCTCTCGACCTTGTGCCCACACAGTCCCACGGTGTGTGCGCAGCTCCAGGTGCGAAGCAGCAGCGCCTGCAGGTGATCAGAGACAAGATCGAGGCCAGGGCCGAGCCCCTGTCCCGCCCGCAGCGCTTCGCCGCCAGCCGCCCGCTGTCTCGCCGCGAGATGGAGATCGAGCGGGCGCTCTTCCAGGGAACCGACCGCCTGGGCTTCCTCACTGCTCTTTACCACAGAGGTAGGGGAGGGCGCCATCGACAGGCGAACCTGTCGCAAAGAGAGCGCTGTCGATTTGGTTCGTCTCCCGGAATAGAGAAACCCCAGACAATCGGAGGGCTCGTTCGCATGTGGGCCTCTAAAGACGACGAGAAGATCTCACCTGGAGTTTTGTCGATGTTCTCGCTCACAGACGAAGACAACCAGGAGAGCCAGGAGGGGGCGTCGCCCTCTGATCCGATGGACTCTCTCTACAGGGACGTCCTCGGTAAGGACAGGAAACCAGCTGCAGAAACGACTGTATCAGAACACGCGTCTCCCCGCCGATCCGACCAATCACAGCCGGTACAATCGGAGTCCCTCCCGGAGCCGCCGCCGCTCGCTCAGAGCGGGCCGGCGCCACCGGCCGCGGCGCCAGGCATTGACATAAGCCGGCCAATCAGCAGCCTGCGGGGATCCGCGAGGGCGACGTCGGGGGCGCCGCTGACTGTCAGAGGGGACGTAGAGACGATCTCGGACGAAGACATCCGGAAGAACCGAGAATCCGAAGACGGGATACGGAACATCCCGCGGTTCAGGAACTACGAGCCGGGAAAACCCTCCAAGGTATCGACCGCTACGTCTGCAAGACACGCTCGCGTTTTAAGGATCAGGCGGCAGCTAAAAGCACTGTGACATTTATCATCATTATGACATGAAACACATGGAAGGAGGCTCTTCCACACCCTTTATATTCCATCCACACCCACTACACACACATAGAGTCACAAAACAGAGCGTTTCTCTTTCACCACTCAAAATGCAATGACTGCATGAATAACATTGTACACACACACAAACGTCAGCAGTTTGAAACTGTGGAGTCACTTAGATTAACTTTAATGTGGTGTTGATTCTGGCGCCCCCCTGTGGACACGGATGGTGATGTTCTTTTGAGCGTCACGCGTCGTAAAGATCTCCCGCCAGTCTCGTTTTACTGCGGCAGGTTCTGGCAGTCGTCATGAATTTGAATAGTTTCATTCTTCCAAAAGAAAAGGACGGTGACTGTCGACTTGAATCAAATCATCTGACCTCGTCTCCACTGAGCGTCTGCAGATGACTCGATAAATGTTGTTGTTGTTTTTTCATGCATCTCGCTGTAGGTTCTGTGCGTGAAGAACTTGAGTGCACAGGCCTCGGCGGCCCACCTGGTGGCGCTGTTCTGCCGGTTCGAGGGGGAGAGCGGGCCGCCGGTGCTTTACCGCCTGCTGACTGGGAGGATGAAGGGTCAGGCCTTCATCACTCTGCCAGGTGAGAAAGCGTCATACGGGAGGAGTGCTGCCTGAGTGACGGACACACCCACCCACAAAATACACAAAAAAACACACAGTGAGCTGTGTACTTTTTGCCATGATGTGATGACAAATTAGATCATCGGGTGTGTTTGTTTTCTTTTTGCAGATGCTGAAACAGCCCAGAGAGCCTTGCAGTTGGTCCATGGATACCGGTTGCTAGGGAAACCTGTGGTGGTGGAGTTTGGGCGCGAGCGAGAGGAAGGAGTGAAGCAGCAGGAGGAGAGGAAATGAAAGAAAACATGTGATTATATGTACATATATTTATTTGTATTTATCTGGATAAAAGATGGTATTTTTTCATTTAAATAAAATGTTCTGTGATGAGCATTACAGTAATGTTTTCTTTTTTACTATTTTCCTATCGTGATAAGACTATGAGACTAAGAGTATGTCTGACCATCTAAGTAAGTCACACAAGTGAAAAAATAATAACAAATACAGACAAAACTAAAGATGAGTTATAAGTAGTACCAAAAGGACTTGACCTCAAATGTATTTAGTGGAAAAGGGTATTTGTACCTATTAAGCATTTTTTTTAACCTGTGAGGTAAGATATATATTTTAAACATTCGACATATGTGGAAGGCACACCGAACTGTTATCTATATAACCGTAATCTTTTTTTTGAATGTTTAGGGAATTAAATGTGTTCAAGAAGGAAAAACTGGAATGAATTAACCAAAAAGTTGTGGGCTCAGAATACAATACCTCTTTAGGCTCTACCTCCACTAAAAACACTAACAAATTGTAGCACTTAAAAATCCATTATAAGTACAATTTATCTATAGCAAGTTCATCGGCTTAATGGTTTAAATTGCACTTTCTTGTTTCTTGTTCTTCTGGGTTTGTTTCCTTATGGTTGAAATGCACTTATTATAAGTCGCTTTGGATAAAAGCGTCAGCTAAATGACATATAATGTAATGATCAGCTGATCTGATGAGGAGGATGTACTTTATTCACTTTGGTCACCAGATGGCAACGATGAGCCAGTTCGAGATTGAAGAAAAGCTGCTGGATGGAAGATTTATGCACCTTCTTGGGTTGAATGTCTAAATTTAATTTAGAAGTTATTATTGATGTGATGTTATCTGATGGATAAAGAACAGGAAAATAATCTACAGCCAGCAGAGTTCATACATTTTATTTATTTGGGCTATTCTTAGGAGCCACCACGAAGAGTTACAAATAGTTTAGAGTGCTGGTTTGCTCACATAACGCAGAGACCTGTGGGGACCTCTGGTGGCCGGCGGGCAGAACTACAGCAAAATAATAATTAAAAACGGAATCAGATTCTTAGCTGTCTATAGATGATTTTACTTTACAGACAAGGATTCGATCACGTAGAATTGTATCAATACCAAAGAGAATTATACTGCCTGGGTTTAGTTAAAGACACAAAAAAATTGGATTATCTGATACTTATCACTGCAAACAGCAGCCTCCACTGGCTTATGTTCCTGTTTGTATTATTATTATTCATGATAAATATTCATTTCTTTTTGGTCTGTGTGCGGATAAAACTCACAACATTTAAATAATCTTGTTTAGTGAGCTTTACAGGTGCTGGTAGGTGGATTTTGTCACTGTAGCGGGGAGCTGGTTCAGCTGTTGTAAAATTGGAATGCTAAGCTAAGCTAACCGGCTGCTGGTTGAAGCTCCATGCCCTCAACACATCTAGTACACACACAACAACAACAAATAGACCATTAGTGAGTTGCAATTTTTTTTTCAACAAAATCATGGAATAAACTATGTGCACAGCAAATGTTGAGCTATTCAACGAGAGGAGGAATGTTTGTTTCCAGTAAAGAATAAAGACAATTTTCGCGCGACATCTGTCAAACTAGGACACGCCCACCAGGGGATGACCTGACCAATCACAGTGCTTACCAGCCTGGACCCTTTCGGCTGCACTGACCAATCTGGACGCTTAAACCCGAACCGGAAATGGGCAAAGTGTAAACGGGTGTGACCCCACCCACAGAATCAGGCGAATATGGGAACGAATCGCCCACGCGCTTCCAAATGTGTCCACGTGGTCACCGTGTTCATTCCACCCGTGTTTAAATCCCGTCCTTCTCCCAGACGTATTTTAGTTGCCTCAAATCTGCTCGTATTTGCTCTCAAACACAAACCCACGCGAAACCCCAATCGAAATAGCCCCCGTTTAATTTCCGCTTAACTATCGTTGAACGTAAGAGTGCATTTTTTGTGTTTTAAGATTGTATCTTTAAACACAATGAACCAATTTTCAGTTCGGCGTACGCGCACTACGCCACAAACACTCATTTTGTGAGAAGTCTAGACTTTTGGATGTCTCGACAGATGCTTTCCATCTGGAGCTCCTCCGTCGAAGGCGGGTGACGAACCCCGGAAGCCTCGTCATAAAGCGCGCATGTCGTTGCCACACAATGCTTTTTGGTTACTTTCATACATGCCGAATTAGAAACTAGTACAAATGGTCGCGGGTGGCACTGAGTCACCCCGCTGTGAGTCGTGCATTTGAACCGATGAGTACGGGCCGGTTTAAATCCACTTGCTTTTAAACGGGGTACGTCACGCAGAAGCGCCAGACGGGAGTCTGCTCTCTCCTCTCTTCCCCCAGGAGGCTGTGCTTCAATCCCAGCCCCCTTTGTTCAGTCGAGCCGGCGGGTTGAGTCAGAGAGGGAGGCTGAGCTAACCCCCAACAAATCACGCTACTGTGGGAACAGAAGTCCGAGTCTATTAACCACAACCAAGGCGACAACAAAGTTGATTGTGTTTTTTTTTTGTTGTTGTTGGCTTGTTAGTGTTGCTGATGCTGCGCTTTCCGCCGGGGATCCGTGTGCGAGCGTTCGGCTACATCTCCGCCGCTCGGTGGCCGCGCTCCTCCCCGGAGAAGAACGGGAACGAACCGGCAGTCTGACCGCTGATCCGCCCCCGGTGCACCGGTCCGTCCCCGTTGCTCATCACCCAGCTGATCCACGCTGCCTCTCCCGTCCAGTATTTCCGCTCAGCATCCATATTTGCATCCCAGGGAGTGGCAGCCACTGATCCCCCCCCCCCTCCCGCCCTCTCCTCTCCTCTTCCCGGCCAGGACGCCGAAAGTTGTGCCCTCGGACGCTGTAATTTCCTCACAGAAGGGTGAGTGTTATTTCAACGTGTTTTTATTAATAATATTATTCTTATTTGTGGTGGTGACTCGGGGGGGTAGTGAAGGGCAGTCTGGACCACGTTGCCGCAGTAGCTACAACAATGGCTCAAACCGGCGTTGCGTTGCATGTGTTTTTTGTGTGTGTTGCGGTGCGCGTTGTCATCCTCATCCTCCTTTCACTCAAATCACGGTGTCGGTTCGAGAGAAAAATATGGATCCAGGGCCCCACCGTGTGTGTGTGAAGAGAAGCTGGCGTAAAAATCCCATCACTCAAGGGCCTTTATAGCACCGGCAGCAGGTTTTAAAGGGCCCGATTGTTTCCATCCTTTATCGCAATGTAAGACGGTTAAGCCTGAAATGTGCAGCCTCATCCAGATGTGCGTTGTTCATTCTGGAGCCGTGACAGAATCACGTCTTCAACAGCCTTTGGGCCAATGACTTGTAGGCCACGCTCCACTTGGGCACCGGCCTACATTGACTCCCATGTTCTCTTTATTATCATCCTTTCATTTTATTGACAAGTCTGCCACGAACGAATGCAGGGAGCGATGGCGTTTCATTAATAACGACGTATTTACTGCGTGATGTGGAATCACAGCTATCGGACGTGTCGTGCGGTAGCAGGTGTTTGTATAACTAAAGGAATAAGACCTCACGTCAGCTGTGGTGCGGAGGGTTGTATTTGTAACGAAGCCCCCCCACGATGATGATGGCGTGATGGAGTACGTCCCACTCCGAGATGTAAACAAGTCCCGCGATGATTCCTCGTGTTTATGTTGTTATGGTGGAGAGAGGCTCAGGAATGAGGACCGTAAATAGAAAGATGTGAGCTCAATACTTTAACAGAAAGAGAAAAAAAGATGAAAATGTGAGTAAAATACAGCGAAAATGAACTTTTTTTTTGTCTTTCTCATATGCGACCCCTTAGATTTACCAAGTGACTCCTTACAGGGTCTACGACACCCCCCCCCCCCCCCACCCGGTCTGCTCCGACAGGCCCATCCATTCACTCTTGGACGGCGGTGCACGTGAAGCTGGCGGCGCCCCGTCGTTTGACAGCGCCTGTGTTTATGACGCCACTTCTCCCAACAGACTAAACATGGGGAGCCACGACAGCCGGCCCCTCCCCCCTGGAGCGCCCCCAACCAGCCGCCCCCACCACCCCGCAGAGGAGCGCCACCCCCCCACCCCCCCCCCCGCTTCTGCTGCAGCAGAATGAACATGCTCAAGTCCAGCGGCCTGAAGATCCCCGGCCGGGGGCCCAAGCATTCCGGCCCAGTGGGGAGGACGTCCAGCCCCGTCCTCCCTAAAGACAGTAAGTCACTTCCTCCTCCTCCTCCTCCTCCACCTCCACCCTCCCCTCATTTCGAGGAATTTTCATATTTTCTTATCGCCGGAAGCGGTTCTGACTGTTTATTTGCGTTAATGCCTCTGGAGAGAACAGCTGCCTTCGTTTACACACACACACACACACACACACACACACACACACACACACACACACACAGGAACTGGGAGGCGTTTTTTTGGAGTTCCAGAATCAAGTGAACACGGTCGACTAACATGGAAAACTCTTAACAGGCCGGAAATCAAGCGCTTCCCAAACCTATCCAGATGTTTTGGGTTCACCTGTGTTGAGATGTGACGCCTGTGCAGCTGAACGTTGCCTCGTAGAAGAGTAAATACTGTATACGAGGGCGACAAGAATATGAAGGAAAAGCTTAAATCGAGGTCTCGTTCAGATGCAGACGTTACTGTGAAAGGAGCACAGCGGGGACGTGAACGCCGTCTTCCAAATAATCGCCGTCGTTGTTATTGGACGTGACCGTAGACTCCGAACCGTCAACCTGGAATCCGACTAACGCACCAAAGCTAAAAAAAAAAAAACAAAGCCGTGGAAAGGAAAGTAATCACAGCTGTTCTCCGACGTTTATCCTCTCCTCTTTTATCCCACGTGACGGCCGCCGCACACGCACACGCAAACACGCACACGCCGGCCCTCTTTCTGCTGCGTCAGGGCCGCCTCTCTCCCAGCGCCCGTGTGCTGGAGGAGGCGGAGTGTCCCGGTCCGTGCGGACTGTGGAATTCCACAACAAACCGATTTTGTTGCTTCAATGCGTTTTTTTTTTTTTTCCGACACAGGAAGTGTTTTGTTTCCATCGTTTATAATGACGATAGAGCGAGTTCATATTTATGGTGCGGTCCTGCAAAGCCGCTCCTGTATGTTCACACACGGAAATACAGCAACAAATAGAAAGAAGTTTGCAGAATGTTTGTGGTCTCGTCTACTCATGTTGGTTATTATAAATCTATAAATTATAAATGTCGGTAATTATAAATCAAGCAGTTAAAAGTTCGTTCACAGGTACTTTCATGTAAATCACATTGATTGGACTCCATCTCACCGGGACCTTAGTTTACCTCATAAGGCACTGTTTTATTATGATTCCTTATAATTATTCTCCAAGACATCCGACAGTAATGAGATATCGGTGGGACAACACTGGCCTCCAAACCTCCCCCCGTTTGTTGCTTTTAGCCGCGAGCACCGTGAGAAGGGGGCCATCATGGCGGAAGTTGGCAGACGCTCACTTTGCCGAATAGAAATGAGTGTTTCGCCCTCCAGAAGAAGCTGTCGTGGCAGGCGAGCCGCTTCCTCCTCGACCGCGCAGGAGTCCGCCACGTCTCCCGCGGTCACGGGCTCCGTCACACTACTATGTGGTGCACCACATAGGGTGATACGCACGTCAGGGGCTGATTAACACCCGAAGTCTTTAAAAAAGAAGCCGAGCGTCGCCGTAGAGACGCGCGTCAATCCCAATGAAGCCCCGCCCTAAAGCGTGCTCCGCTTTATGGTCTATTTCACCTTTCGTCATCTAGCTTTTTGTGGTCTAAATGTTTCGCTGGGCTTACACGACGAGCTAACTTTATCTTTGTGCTGTCGCCCGGGCAAGTAGAGCACGGAGGGATTATTCCGTGACCACATCTGTCTGCGCTGCATCTGGAAACAAAAGACGGTAAAAAAAACAAAACGCCTGTAAGACGCTCAAACTGGTGTTGACATCGATTAGTGCGATTCTAAGATTTAACAAGATCAACACGCGCGCAACGGCTCCCCGATGACACGATGTACGCGTTGAACGGGGGCCGCTTTAAAACAAAAGCTTTGCTCCAAGTTCAACATTAAAAAGATGAAAACGTTTGGTGCATCCTGCACCCAGCTGGGCGACACTACCTCCCCATGACGTGGCACTTTGAACTTTGACCCTCCCGCTCGTATATCCGCTGCACAAAGGATTATGGGTCAGTTAAAGCACGCGGGCATCCTGCTGAAGGCCACCGGATGTAGTAGAACATCCTGGTACTTTTGTATTCTGACATCCCACGTCTTTTTTTTATTGGCACACACAAAAATCACATTGGCCAGGTGACCCCCCGGATAACGTTTCCAACTTAAATGTACCGAATTTAGCAGGAAATGAATGTTGAGGATCACGGGGAGGAGATATCTGCTTCAGCAAATGAGCTTCCTGACTAATGAAGAAACTCCATCACGGCGAAGCCGTAACCCGTAAATCCAATATTGACTTGCAGTAAATCACTTGTTTGTTTGCAGCTTCGCCCTCAATGGGACACACCCAGTGATGTGAAGGGAGAGCGACCTCATTAGGAATCCACTCTTTAATCCTCTGATGGCTCCAGTCTGTAATAGTCACTGAACGCTTCTTACCAAAGGCACAGTCACTCTGAGAATATTTCACCGATGCAGAACATTAAGTAGAGTTTACTTTAGGGTCGGGCTACATCGCGAAGACCCTTCTAGCTTCTCTGGACTTGGCAGCATGAGGCTAAAAGGCTAATTAACCAAACACAAAGGCTGGAAACGCAGATTCTGCAAAACAGAAAGTTCCACCTCGGTTTCACCTGGTTTTCAGCTCATTGAAAACATCTTAAAGATGTGGATTTTTCTACTTCTCTTAAACAAGGAACACGTCATTTGTTTGTGTGGGTTTTCGCTTATGCATAAACGATTTAACCTGAAACACAGTAGACTCGAAGGCGACACACATTCCTCACAACGGCGTCCGTACGCAGCCGCCACAAGCACTGCTGCAGACACCACGCGTTTTGGGCCCGATGAGCCATATTTAAAACAAAAAGAACAAGATGATAGCCATTGTGGTCGCGTTAAAGAGGCTGAAGAAAGAGGTGTGTGTGTGTGTGGAACCAAAGTAGGGCGAGGGGGGGTAATTGGAGGGCGGGGGAGGAAGCTGTGGAGCTCTCATTGTGCGGAGCTGATGAATAGTGGGATTCAGAGGGCGGTGGGAGGTGCGCCAGCACAATGCTGAAAGTAAGGGCTGTGTTTCCACTCACCCCCTTCTGCCGAGGATCCTTTTTGCCCTCGCGCTCCCGTTGCCGAGGCGACCGCAGATCACGAGTCCGGCCGGGGTCGGTTTGAAATGCGGCTCTGGGTCCGCCGGATCGCACAATGCGCTGATTGGTGCTGTGCTGACAAAAGGGAAGTCACGGTGCGGCGCCGGCCCTCGCAGTGCGTGGAGGTGCAAAGCTAAACGACAGTTTAGGAACCGAAGCTGAATTTGTGCATTGGTGAGAAAACTGGATTCTGTCAAAATACATTTCTAAATATGTCAGAAACCGGCGAGTAGCATCTCCACGAGGTCTGTCGACCAATCGCACGAATAGAACAGGGACGCTGTCATTGACTGACCAATCAGAAGTATTAAAAACCCCAAACAGTGTTCATGGTTTTCTAAATAAAAATCCTCTCTCACTTTGGACAAAGTTCGTAATCCAACCTGCATCGCAGATGTGGGTCAAACACAAAGCGACTTGTGGCAGACGTCGATGTAGAATGTCAGTTTGCTCCCGGCGTCATCCATTTGGACATATTACTGATCAATGAGAGTACTCTGATTGTCAATATCTCTCCCTCGGTCTGCAAATGTGACGTTTAACAGAACAAAATGCACCAAGGGCCAAACGTTTCGCCGCAATGTCATCCGACGGTTTACCCAACGATGAAACCGCTCTGTACGTTAAAGAAATACCAGCTTCATCCGCGTCGTCAAACAGGCGAAACGCAAAGGCTGCGTGTCGGAGGTGGTTACAGATCACAGATCCCGCCTCGCCGAGGTGCATTTACAACTAATCTTGCAGAAAGTGCACAGCCGGGCGTGATGCAAACCGCGTGGAGGCAGTTCTGCTGGACTGAATGAGGATGATCTCACAACGTGCGCAGTGTTTACCACTCGGCTCGGTTCACTGCAGTTCTTTTGTTCGTGTCGTTCTGTTACAGGAACCTTTCCCGCCCCGCACTTTATTAGAAATAAAACCTTTTTTTGTTTTTCTCCAGACACGCCGCTCAAGCCCACCACCCCGACTAAAATCTCCGAAGAGGGCGACGATGTTTTGGGGGATTACACAGTGGGCGAGCAGGTCTGGGTCAACGGGGTCAAGCTTGGAGTTATTGCCTACCTGGGGGAGACCCAGTTTGCCCCGGGACAGTGGGCAGGCGTGATCCTGAATGACCTGGTTGGCAAAAACGACGGGTCAGTGGGCGGCGTGCGCTACTTCGAGTGCCAGCCCCTGCAGGGCATCTTCACGCGACCCTCGAAGCTCAACCGACAGCCGGTCGGCGAGGGAAGCGACAGCCACTCCGCCGACTCCTTCTCTGCGCAGAATCACACCCAGCAGGGCGGCAACGGCGTCCCCCCGGGCCAGAGGGTGGTGGTGCCGCTGAGAGAGGGGCTGCTCAACAGCGCGGTGAAAACGGGCTACGAGTCCGGGTCCAACATGTCCGACAGCGGTTCGGTCAAGGGTTCGGTTAAGAAAGGTGGCGAAAAGGATCTTCGAGTTGGAGATCGGGTTTTGGTGAGTACTTGTGTGTTGGAGGACAAATGGTTTGTTCTACTGTATTTCATTTTATTTAAATGTATTTTTGTAATTTTTACAAAATACAAATATTATTATTTATTTTTATTATTATTTTGTATTATTTTATTTCCACATATATATATATATATATATATAAATATATATATATATATATATGTGAAAATAAAATAAAAATAATTACATATATATATATATATTATATTATATATATATATATATATATTATATATATATATGTGAAAATAAAATAATAGAACTAGAACTAGAATTCAAACTTCATCCTTTGCACCTTTTAGAAAATCCTCCTCCAAAAAACACGTGCGTGTCAATTATATAGCATATCGAAGGGGCCCCTTAAGACGGTTCCCGCATTGAAGCAGCGGCCCTTGGTCACATGGCTTTCCATTGCCTGGTGGACGGTTACATCAGCGCCCGTGCGGTTTGAAGCGGCGTGCTGCCTTCCTTCCTGGTCAATGTGTAAATCACTGAGGATTACGTTCAGCACTTTGGGGAGGAGGAATCGCTGCTGACACATTGATCCGGGAAGCCGTCTCTTTCCCGAGCCCGTCTCGTGTAATCGCTCACGAGGGATCCAGTTGTGTCACGCCAAACGAGTAGCAGGCCTACTGGTGCAGAAGGGTTTTAAATAGTCAGGATTTTGTACATATATATATAGCTACATTCGACGACTGCAATGGATTCAATGTAGTTACAGACGGCTGTTATAGGTAGAGATGCTGCGTCTGAAATTATAAGGAAATATTTAGTCTTCGTATCTCTGAGTGCGCCTCAGCTCCTGTGTATTTAGCAGCTGTGCTAGTTCGCTGTTCCCTTCTTGTATCTCTGAGGTACTTTAACCCCCCCGACCCCCCTATGATGTTTTTACTCTTATTTCAATGTTATTGCAAAGCGAGTATTCTTTGGGTTTGGACTATTTATTGGATGAAACTAAGCAAGAAAAAAAAAAAGGAACAGCGAGAGGACACAGCGTTCTTTAAAGTACACAAAGACCTTAATAAATGATTAGTGGAGGTTAAATCGAGTGAAAACATTAGCTGCGTTAGTGTGTTGTCCTTGGTATAGTGTTCATTTATTTTATACCAGATCTTTGTACATGTTGATCAGCAATGAGTTTGACAAACAAGTCATTTGACTTTGATTGATTAGTGCAAGAGCATAAACTCTGTGAATTGGCAAAAGGCAGAACTAAAAATAAAAATGTGTACATTTACAAAACAATAAACAAAGAATGTAAGAGTACGTTGAAATAAGGCAGCAGCTACCATGCTAGCCCGTCTATGCTAGCCCGGCTATGCTAGCATGGTAGCTGCTGCCTTAAGACATAAGAGGACCACAATATTTCTTTACCAAAATTCTGATTGACTTACTGGCTTTAGCGACTTAGCGTCACGCTGACTTCTGAGCAGACGCCGGGCGACCGCCTTTCACCGATTTCTTTTTGAGGTCGTCCCCTCACGATTGGCGTGAACGCGCTTCAACTGTCGGGCCTTCTTTCCTCCGTCTTGTTCGCCAGGTGGGAGGTTCCAAGATGGGAGTCATCCGCTACATGGGAGAGACAGACTTCGCCAAGGGCGAATGGTGCGGGGTCGAGCTCGATGAGCCCCTGGGGAAGAACGATGGCGCTGTGGCTGGAACAAGGTAAACATCACAGACAGACGAAGCGAAAACTGAAACTGAACCTAGTAGAGACCATCATGTGACAGGATCCCCCCCCCAGCATGATGCCAAAGAAGGGCTGTGTTCCTACCTCTCCCCCCCCCCCGCAGGTACTTCCAGTGCCTCCACAAGTTCGGCCTGTTCGCTCCGGTGCACAAGGTGATCCGCATCGGCTTCCCGTCCACCAGCCCGGCCAAGGCCAAGAAGAGCAAGCGGATGGCCATGGGGGTCTCCTCTCTGGCCCACAGCCCCAGCAGCTCTTCCATCAGCTCCGTCAGCTCGGTGGCCTCCTCCGTGGGGGGGCGGCCCAGCCGTACCGGACTGGTGAGACAAACACAAAGCCGCGGCTGCTTCAGAGAGGCGGAGGACTCTAACCGCCGACCTCCTCTGGAGTTGGCCAAACATTTACTCTACATGCACGTGGCATCGATCTTCTCGTCTAACTCGTTGGAAAAAGGAAATAAGCAAACGATTGTTTCCCCGTATGTTTCTTTTGAAAAAGGCCTTTTAAAGACCAGTTACAACGTGCAATGTCATGAAATCCAACAAAGACTTTAAAAGTTTAAAAACAATAAAAAATGGCTTTAAATCAGACTTGCCCCTTCGGTTTTAAAATAATACCTTTTATCAAATTCCAATTTCTTCAAGAGGAGCAATTACTTTGCCTCCAAAAGCCGGACAGCAGCATGATGAGTTCAGCGTGGGGACGTCCTCCCTCCTCTGCACAGCTGACTCAGCGCTCTGCATGTTGTTGCAGTGTGAAGCTCGGATTGTCTGACTCTGCATTTTGTGCCTCAGACCACTGACCTCAGGGGAAGCGGGTGAATCGGTCTTCAGGCCATCTCACTTTGATCAACGCTTCTGGTTCCCGGCCAGATCTCGGATGGAGAACCCTGGCTGTTACTTTCCTTGATTGTTGGCAGCGGTTCTGTACTAGCTGCACAAAGTATTCTCCCTGCTGTCATCCCATAAATCTTTGGCGTACCGGGGTTCACGTTGTTACGACGAGGGAACACTTACTTATGAACCCTACAGGGTCTTTCTCATAAAGGGTTCTACCTTGAACCACCTGTACGGAGAACCCTCCCTTGGCTTAATGGTCCAAACGGAAACCTCTCTGTAGGTTCCACCCAGAACCGTTGCGCCTCCTAAGGGTGCCAGCAGGAACCCACCTATGTGCTCCACTGAGAACCCTTTTATATTCACGGGTTTCATTCAGAACCCACCTACCGTTCCACATTCCGTCCCAGTTTTTGCAGGTGTGTCATACTTGAAAAATAAATTCATAAAATGTTTCTCCCAAAAAGGGTTCCTGGCGAGCAGAAATGGAACCTCAGCCACACAGAACACTTTTGGGACGCTTAATTTGTATGTTGTGAAACTGAGACATGGATAAGAATCCGCCAGTTCAACAGTGTTAAAACCTCAATCTGAGCCTTTGAGTTCCTTCTAAATTCCCCAAATAATGAATCTGGGTTGTTTCTATTTGTGGGAGCTATTAATTTTCTTTTAGTTATTTATTCTTAAATATTCTTGTTTAATTATTTAGTATGCATAGTTTAGGTTAATCGGTTGGTTAATTGGACGTCTAATTGAACGGGTAATACTGTGGGCACCTGGAGGTTATTTAAGGGCATAGCCAGGTGTAGGACCATCGTGCACCTGGGTATCAGTAGCCCTTTGACGTAATAATTTATTGGTCCCAAGGACAAATGGCCCCATAACAATAAATAAAGGCCATCTGATCCCGCAGATGAATCCTCTCACCGAGGACCCTCTAGTGGTCAAAGGAAACGTGGCATCTTGCAGCCTCATTAAACACCTGAGCTTTATTACTTCTACTGACAGTCGAAAATATTCCCTGTGGATGGCCGATGGTTTTTAAACGCTGACATGTATGTATTCTTTGAAGCCTCATGTGGCCAAGATGCCAGTGTATATTAAACATGTCTTGTGATTGAAAAGCTCCTCAGAGGTTCCACGTAGAACCAGCAGGGGGTTTAGACTGAGAACTGGTCTATATACCAGGGGGTTTTGTCTAGAAGCCCTTTTATGTTCCCGGGTTTCGTCCATACCCCGCCCAGGTGGTTCTGCCACGGAACGTTTGTTTTAGTTTGAGCCCCTCTCCTCGCCCCGTTCCAACGTTTCGTGTCCTCCCTCGTCTCAGCTGACCGAGACGTCGTCGCGCTACGCCCGCAAGATCTCGGGCACCACCGCGCTGCAGGAAGCCCTGAAGGAGAAGCAGCAGCACATCGAGCAGCTGCTGGCCGAGAGGGACCAGGAGCGGGCCGACATGGCCAAGGCCACCAGCCACATCTGTGAGGTGGAGAAGGACCTGAGCGTCCTCAAGGTGCAGCACGTGCAGGTGGGAGGCCGCGTGTTATTCATTTCTGACGCTGCGTTCGGCTCAAACCCATTCGGACCCTTAGATATCTTCTCGTATACCCGCAGTATGTAACGGAGAACGAGGGCAACCTGCAGCAGGTCAAAGCCATGCTGGCCAGCACGCAGAAGGACAAACTGGAACTGGCCAATCAGCTCGAAGAAGAGAAGAGGTAATCAGACCGCCGGGCTCGCATGAGAAGGTTCTGGTACCTAAATCCAAATCGTATACTTATACGTGGAAGATAGATCAGAACCAAAATAAAAGGTAACGTAAACTCTTAGAAGCAGAGCTGCCAGCTAGAACCACAGAGGTTTCGTCATGGTGGAACTCCCATTGTATCCCAGTAGAGCCTCTTGTGACGGTTCCACCAACAAAAACATCTCACACACTTTTATTTGAATTGTTTTGCAGGAAAGTAGAGGACCTCCAGTTCAGAGTGGAAGAGGAATCCATCACCAAAGGAGACCTGGAGGTATTTATCCTCATAATCAATACCTTTTAAAATAAATGCACGTCCACATGCTGAAATCCAGTGTGTCCTTTAACATCATCAACAGGGCATAATGTATTTTGGATGCACGACGGCAGATCTGTGCCGTTTCGCAGTTTAAAAATGCGTCAACGAGAGGACGATGCAGAGCCCCTCTCAGCATTTGATCGACACCTTCGGCCCTCAATGCGCCGCCTGCTTGCCGCAGCACGACCGGTGTTTCGTGGAAAGCTGGCCGGGGTTTTACAGCCGTAGCTCAGTTCAGGGTTCAAAAGTCAGGCGGAGCTTTAAAAGCTTCAGCCAAGTCTGCTTTTTCAAAGCCACGGCGAAAAGTGCGACATCACCACTTGTCCTTGCTCCTCTTGAGAAGGAACCCGAATGCGAGGTGAATCTAATTGGCTCTCATTTGAATTTGCGACTGAAGTGTTTTTACCGTAACAACCACAAACGCAACCCAGGCGCCCGCTGCCTCCTCTTCAGTTGCGGCCAATCTTTGAAATTGTGACCCATGTTTTCGGCTGTACAGACTTCACGCCCACAGGACGTAGCGGAGGAATCTCCCCGAGCTTCGGAGCGGTCACGCAGTTCGTGAACGCGTGAAAAGATTTGCTAGATTGTTTCCCGGGATTCCACCAATGCTCCCCCGCCACCAGTGGGCGGGTGTAGCACAGGCGGTCCTCCACACCACCCTGACGGCCTCGGCTGGAGGATGGTGTCCAGTTGTTTCCTTTGGGTTTTGGGTCTTTATTTTCATGCAGCGAGGTGTCCTTCTGTCCCACAGGGGGGATGCTCTCGCGGCGCAGTGTCCTCGAGGTTGGGTAAGAGAACCAAGGTGAAAAAAAAAAAAAAGTCCCGCTCTTGTTCTTGATCCTCCGTCGAGCTCTCTCGGTTCTTCAAACTTCACGTCGACCTTCAGATGCCGCCGAGGACATTAATCCCGCGTAGACTCTTTTCCGCTCCTGTGTGTCTGTGCTGTGATCTGAATGCTAGTCGGGCTTCTCCTGTCAATCAACCAGTGACTGAGGTCCTTGTCTCCACAGACGACAGCTGTGCACCGTCCTCCTCCCTTTGTTTGAAGTGTGTGCCGATGTTGGAAGTCGCCGTATGGAGCTCTTTGTTCTTTGCCTTTTTGTTTTATATATTCATACATGTTTGCTTGGCTGCTTCTAGAAGATCAGAGAATGGCTGCGCTCTCCTCTTCTTCGCACACACAGTGAGCTGCACCAATCTTTGGACAGTGACACGTTGACCCTGTCGGCTCCTTTTGTGCCCTTTGATGAAAAATGATTCAATGAGCGACGGGGCTGCAGACCTTTAATACGAGGGCATCGCTATCGTGGAAGTACGGATAATGGTTCGTCTGTTCATCTGTCTGTGAAATGCCAGTATGCTGACGGCTCTCCTCTAAAACAATAGCTTGGACTAATAATGACAATAACATGTCTTCATTCAGAGAGCAGACGTCACAAAGTTCACAGCCAAAGACAAAACAGTCGCTAAAAAACAAAAGATCCAGATATCGAACTAAAAACAGCAGCTCGGGTCCGTTTGTTTAGGATTTCATTTTGAAAGTGTCAGAGATTCTTATGAATAAATTCCAGCATCAGAGCGTTAGATGTCACCACGACACTAATGTTCATGAAAATTAGGGAATTATCCAACGGCAGCATTTGGTGAATTTAGGAGACAAACAGACTAAGTGGTGAAATAAATATTTCCACCAGTCTGACAGATCGTAAACTGTGAGGTCGACATGAATCCATCATCGTCCAGTACTCGGCCTCAGGGAGAACCGCAGGGAGCCGAAACACCAGTTTGTCACTGTCCACACGCTGAGTGTCATCACTTGAACTCTTCTCAGGATCGTCGGTCTCCCTGAGTTCCGTCTTCCCGAGGCCTGATTTCCGCTTTTAAAAGTCTGTTTTTTTTTGGCCTTTTCTCTGGAACGACGTGGCTTAGTTGCCGGGCGTGATTCTTTTACAAAGGGCTGACGTTCCTCCCGTTCTTCTTCTTCTTCCCGCCAGCAAACCACAGTCGAGGAGCAGAGTCGCATTGTGCAGCTGGAGGAGGAGCTCAGCCTCCGCAGGGCCGAGATGGAGAACCTCCAGGCCAAACTGAGGGGGTCCGACGCCAGCCCGCGGGGCGGCGGTGACCACGGCGACGGCGAGGCCCGCCCGGAGACCCCGCCGCCGCAGCCGCCGCCGCCAGCGCAGCCGGTGTCGGCGGGCCGCGAGCACCACGAGGAGAGCGGCGAGCTCAAGGAGAAGTACGAGGCGGCGCTGGCGGCCAGCCGGCAGGAGGTGGACTCCATGAAGGCGGAGCTGGAGAAGAGAAGCCAGGAGGTCATTGAGATGAAGCAGAAGGTCCAGCAGGCCACCAAGGAAAACGTGGAGATGATGGACACCTGGAAGGTATTCCGCTTCATCTGTTTGAACCCTCAGCTGTGTGAAGGTATGCGTGGGCAGGCAGAAGGGCGCTGGATCTGAAGGATCATTTCAGGTTTTTAAAGTTGAATTCAGGTCATCGAAAATACAAAAATGAACATCATGCAGAGCTTCAAAAGACTTGAGACTAGAGATTGAGATCATAACCATAAAGTTAAATATATTTATATTTATATATAAGTTAGAAGTAGACTCATTTACTCATAGACTTGAAACGGAGGACTCGCCCCCTGGTGGTCATTAGAGAGAATGCAGTTTGTTAGACACTTTTATTCACTGTCCGGATGTAATACCATGAAGAACTTTACCAACCCAGCCATTAATGTTTATTATCTCCAAACCACCCCACCAATATGAATTCCTCCCGCTTCGCTCTGCAGGTGAAATTTGAGACTTTATCGATGGACCACCAGCGTTCCTTGGAGGAACTGAAAGCGTCGTTGAGTAGCGACCACCCAACTCCAGAAAAGGACGCCCAGGAGCTGAGAGCCACTCTGGAGAGCCTGAAGATGGAGCACCAGCTGGAGGTGGAGAACCTCAAGGCCAAACACAAGATCGAAGCCGCCATTCTGAGCAAGGAACGCGAAGACTTCTGCACTCGCCTCCAGGAGGCCAAAGAGCTGCTGGCCGAGGGCAACCAGGCGTGGAGGGCCGAGGCAGAGGCCAGCGGCGGGAAGCGGTCCCTGGCGGAGGCCGCCGATAAGCTGCAGAAGGCGGAGCAAAGGGTGGCGGAGATGGAGAAGTCGCGCGTGGAGTGGGACAGAAGCACGGAGCAGCTGAGGGAGCGGTTGGAGCTGTCGGAGAAGAAGATGGCGGACTATCAGGCTGTGCAGAAGGCCCAGGCGGAGAGCCAAGAGGAGATCCGGGGACTAGAGGAGAAGCTGAGGGTGACGGCCAACCAGCTCCAGGCCATCCAGGCCGCCCGCTACACAACCCGCGATGCAAACGTGCGTGGGCGAACAGGAAATCCCGACGCAAACTCCGATACCCCCGTCAGCGCTTTGATTTAAACTCTCTTCACTTTGTCATCTCTTTTCAGGTGATAGAGGATAATGACATTTCAGAGGACAAGATGAAGCTGAAACAGAATTTCGAAGGTCTCAACACGTGCTTATTTTACAATTATTGCTTATTATAGAAGCAAACCATTCATTTATTTTTCTGTTAATTTGGAAATTATTGTAAATGTTGAGTTCACTTAAACTTATATTGGATCTTTGAGGTATTTAAAATATTCCCTAAGCAGTATATTACTTCTTCAAAACAACCAAACTTTCGTCTCTATTTCATAATTCAAACACAATATTAATGTTTTAATTTCTAACCATTCGAGTCCCTTAGACTTTAAGGTGTCCTAGTGCACTCTAACGTTTGTTTTTCTTCAGAAACAACGGAGAAGTTGCTGAAAAGGGAGAAAGAGGTCACCACCCTCACTTCCCAGGTGGAAGCCCTCAAGAGCCAGACGGGAGGTAATTTCATTTACGTCATTTCACAGAGCGGCTTTTACTCCACGACTCAAGAGGTTCGACTTCTTCCGCTTTTAAAACGGGAACAAACTGCGGACGCAGTGTTTTGCTCTATCTGGCGACTCTTGGAAAGTATTTTGACCCAATGTGACAGCACTCCATTCCTAAACACAAACGTCTCATTTATCATCAATGGTAACGGCCATTTTCTCATTCATCTTCACCCACCAGCACTGGAGGCCAAAGTTCGCTCGGGGGAAAAGAAAGCCGAAGTCATGGCCAGGGAGAAGATGCGTTTGGAGGCGGAGCTTGAGTCCATGACCAGGAAGTCCCATGATGCCTCTGGGCAGCTGGTGAATATCAGCCAGGAGCTGCTGAAGAAAGAGAGGTATGGAGACGCGGCTGTATTGATTTCACAACCCGAGCCCGCGCCGGGAGAACAAAGTGACGAATAACGTCTCCGACGGAAATGCATCACGTGATCGATCTGATAACGGGACGCGTACCGGGAGCCCACAGGCGACGTATTGATCCCATTCCACCTGTTGCCAACTTAACGACGCTATTATTTCATTCTGTAGCGTTCCGTCTGCAATATCCGTCTTCATTGTTTTAAAAGCTGAACTAAAACAAAGTTGTTTTATCGACCTTACTATTATGCTAAAGAAACAAAGGCTAGATAGAGGTGATTGGTAGACCATCAACCAGGATGGTCCTCGATTGGCCCCGTTTTAGATCATTTAAAGCACAAGTACCCTATTATCTCCTCCATTATGTTCTGTGTACATCGATAAATTCAGATTTTAACTAAGATGAAAGTACAATATTCAATATAAATTGTGTAAATACATATCAATAAATCACTCCAATTGTATTTCAGACACAGGATCCAGATGAGACAATGAATAAATCGAATAGACAAACAAAAAACAGCTGGCAATACCCCTAAAAATCATCATAATAATAACAACAATAGTCAAGAAACCTGAAGACTGACAAATATAAATAAGTACGTTCAGGGACAATCAGCGCTGTGGTTATTTTCAGAACTAGGCCTTTTTATTCATGTATATGCAGTTGGCCTACAGCTCTATGGGAGACACAGAATCAGTCAGAAAAGACACTTATGGAACTAGTATGATTGTTAACATTTACAGACGAGTGTTGTGTGTTTAACACAAACTTCCTGCTGTTATTGCGTTTGTACAGTTAATCAGTTCTTACTTGGTGTCACTCTTCTGCATTGAATACAATAGGAATAATAAACACAAAATATGTGGCTCATCCTGGTATTTTCATTGGTATTGGGACACACAAACTGGTGCGCTGCTGGAACGGCCAGCTGGTCTTTTCCTCCAGAGTTCATGGAGCAGAAACGTCTCTCGCAGATGGACTTTAGTTCCTTCTGACCCTTTTTTTTCGCAGCCTCTGATGAAAGTCGATTATCCGACCGCCTCAGTGGGAAGAGAAAGTTGTAACAATGTCACTGCTTTATTGATGATGATTGCATGATGTAATTCTTACATTATTGATGGTTATGATGTTACTAAATGCAACAAGGCACTAAAAATAAGTGCTTCTGGCTACAGCGAAATAATCTCTGTGCATCACCGCTGCAGCAATTATGTTGCATGCAATAAAATGATATAGCATCATATATTCAGTGTGTGGCCCTTTGGGTTAGTGGAAGTGAAGGTGGATGGTTCAGTCAATGACATCCTTTGAGGGGGGGAAAAACAAGCTCGTTCTTTGCCTCAGGATACTCAGCGGAAAACATTTCTATCATTGGATGAGAATTTTTTTAAAAGCCAATTACGAGCACGAGGAAAACATAATGATGTTTAGAAGCAAAGGAGAATGCGGTTCAATATAAACACGCATGTGAGTGTAAAAAGAAAAGCGATATTAGGAGATGTGATGCGGTTTGGTGATGGTCGGCGAGCCTGAAGTCCTGTGGGAGAGACAGAGAGACACGAGGAAGACGACCAGTATTGGTTCTGCAGAGTCCAATCTCAAATCTCACAACTCATTTTATATTAGAACATTTTGAATAAATTACCTGCAGACTATGAGCACGTCGCATGACTGGCATGCCGCGTCACTGCCTGTCTGCAGTTGACTTTGATCAAACACGTGATTTCCAATGTGCGTCGTCCTTCCAGGAGTCTGAACGAACTGAGGGTGCTGCTCCTGGAGTCACACCGCCATTCCCGCGACGTGGAGAAAGACCTGAACCGAGAAGTGCACAAGGCCGAGTGGAAGGTGAAGGAGCAGAAGCTCCAGGACGACATCAAGAGCCTGCGAGACAAACTGCTCCTACTGGTGAGGAGGAGGGAGATTCTGGGGGTCAATCGAATGGAAACAGGTCACTGTGGCATGGTGGTGTAATGTGTGTGTGTGTGTGTGTGTGCGCGCGCGCTGCAGGGTCAGGAGAGGTCTTCACCTGACCACCGGCGGTACTCCATGCTGGACCCCTCGGTCCTGGACTCGGAGGTGAGCCGCCTGCGCCAGCGGCTGCTCAGCACGGAGGACGCCCTGAGGAACGCCATGGATCACAACCAGCAGGTGGACCAGCTGGTCCTGGCCATGCGCAGGCATCCGGACAAAAGCCTGGTAACGCTTTTCCCCCTCACAGACTCCGTGAAGAATGCCGTGGATCATGTCCAAGTGTTGGTTCCACTGAGGACGCCGGTTAAAGAGTCCGTTTGGCGTGTTTTTCAGGCGCATGGTGCAAATTCAGCCAATGGGATTCATCACCAGGAGTCGGGCAGCGCTCGAGATGTCGGTATTCCGTCTTCCTTCTTTAAACCATTGCAGATGTGGGGATGTCGTTCATGCTCCTCGGCGCTGAGAGACACCCTGTTGTTGTTGTTTTGTGGTCTCCTCAGGAACAGCACTGATATGAGCAGAAGAGACCAGGCTGAACCGGGACCTGCGGAGGTCCGTCTTGAAGGAAAAGCTCTTCCGACGTCTCGTCCCGCGCCGGCCCGCCTGGAGAAGATTTCCGTTTGCAGTTAAATACCAAAACAACGAATCTCTTTGTCTCGAGTGAATTTATGTGTCTGTTGCAGAAAGCCCCTATTAGCCAATCACGAAGGCCGGTTACAGTACTACGAAATATACACAGGGGACGTGGACACCAAGAGACGCTGTGGGTGCAGCGCCTCAGACTTTCGATGCTTTAAAGTAGTTAGACAAATTTCAATCCGCAAGTTGCCGGGAACTCTGTGACAATTGTTGATTTTGAATCGGAAAGAAGACAGCCGGTGGACAACGACGTGAAGAGCTGAAGAAACTGGGTCTCAGTCACTCTGTTTGTTTTATTTATTACTTTTACTCAGCTTGGTTTTAATCCTCTTGGCCAGCGACGCTGTTATTTCCAGGGAGTTTGACTCATTTGTCGCTTCTCCTGCTTTCGTGTACAATATGACGAGTAACTGTGGGTTAATGGAAGTATTAAAAAGGCCCGTTAAAGTGTTTCTGACTAATAAATCTGTCTTCTGATTATGAAACACAAACACTGAAAGCTTGCAAAGCAGCTGTGAAAAATCCAAAGGTTAAGTCCGTTTGTGTGATAATCTATTCCAACACTTTTGGTTGGATTTTGTTGCTAAAACACGCACATAAAATATTCTCAGCCACTTACTGCAACATAATCCACCTCTCTGGTCTCCATCCATGCGAGTCTGATCCAAATACTTATTTTCCCCACCAGTATACAGAAAAACCCGCTGCTTCTGCTTTAACCCACTCTTCCCTTTTGATTGTGATTTGTGTCAAAAGCAAGTTATAAACCCCATTGCAGATTAAGATGTGGGATTTTAAAGATACAGTGTGTAACATTTAGAGCGATGAATTGGCAGTAATGTTATTAAGAATATTCTTTTCCATGTATGATTAACATGCCGCCTTGATCAACACGGTTTTGTTAAGAAAATGAATCCTACACAATTTATTTCAGTGAAAAGAAAATGTTAAGTGCAATCGGAACAGTTGAATCTGTATTTGCATTTAGCAGCGTCCTCTTTAACGTCCAAGATCAACTTTTTGTTTAATCTGAGCTCCCGAACTGATGTACCGTGCATCAATATTACTAACACAATTACAAGCAGACGTAGAGAAGAAAAGCAGTTTTATTTTCGTTTTCAAGAAAATATTATACAAGATCGAGTATACAGTTATAGTACAGTCAAATCTTATTTTCTGCTAGAATAATCCTTAAACCCCTAATTCATTTAATTATTACATATTCCATCAGGATCAGGAACATTTATTACCAAAATATGTCAGACACACAAGGATTTTTACTTGGAGGTCGACATCAGACAGTAAGACAACATGGTGCCAGAGGAATTTTAATTAAAAATAAAAGTTAAAAGTAAAGTGCACCAGCGAACAGAAAGTAACATATGGCGCATGGAGCAGAGAGGGTGCGCTGGGAACTGAGGTTGGCTGTGTGCCCCTGAGCAAGGCACCCGACCCCTAATTGCTTCCCAGGCAAAATGTAAAACCATGGGATAAAAATGCAATGCCGCAAAGTCGCTTTGGATAAAAGCGTCAGCTAAATGGCGCCATATAATATAATAATGTACGGTGTGTGTGTGCATGTGTGAAGGGATGGCGAATGATGGAGCCCAGAAAACGGAAGGAAAAAGCATCACTACGGTTGCTATGGTTACCTACAGTCTCATAACGGATATAGAATAAGTGGTTAAACTATTGAACTCATTTTCCTAATTGTTTCTATATGTGACAATGTGACTGCAGTGCATGAAGTTCAGTGTGTGACATTTAGAGGTAGGAATGGATCATCAGTAAGTGTCTTTTCTTTAGGGCGGAACCAGTAAGACAACCGTTGTGTTTTTCTTTTGGAGTATAGGTTAATTTCTTCTGGAACCGGTTCGGCTCACGGGAGACGGTGTCGGTCGGTTTCATCACCGCAGCCTCGCCGCGAGGTGGCGCCAAGTCTCCCGCCCCGCACCTTTAAATCCCAAACAACCGGTGACTATGTTTATTTCTAAATGCTTTTGGGTGTTTCACCACCAACCCTCTCTGGAGGAATCGGGTACCAGGCCACTCACCCAGAAGACAGAAGTCTTTATTTGGCCATCAGTGGACCTCCGCTGGGACCCAATGATCCTTGGAGAGTCCACGCTGGGTTCAGTTCTGTTATTCTGTGTTTATAGAATAAATAAAGCCCTTTGTGTGCTCAATCCCCATAAGACCATGCACCGTGACACCTCGCATCGCTACTGATCAAGCTTTTTTCATTTACTGAACACTTCAGCACAGACTCCGTCAATACACCAAACCCGCCGCTGCACAGGTGAAGATAAAGTGAATTCTTCCATTGGACGCCGCGCGTGTTTCCCGCTGGAAGGGCTCGTGCGCTTTGCTGCAACGCGTTTGGAGATTGCGTCATTAAATATTAACAACGTGGGAAAAGGGCCGCTGGTGTTTTATTTCACAGCATCTCTGTCACAGTTCAGCATGTTTTTTTTTTTTTTTTTTGAGGGCACAGGGCAGGAGACGGGTCGTAGATCCGCAGAGCCGAGCCGGTCGGTTCGTTTGGGGAGATTCTGCCGGCAACCAGCAGCATTTCTCCAATGCCCGGGCGCAAACACCAGGTAAAACCAACCCCGCCGTAAGTATCTCCTCCCAGGGGAACATTTGCTCTCCGGATGACTGCATGAGGAGTGGAAGCAATAAATCCTGTTGGTGAGCTGCAGACAGACACTGCGTGTTTATTTACCTCCACGTGTCACACACACACACTCATTCACACGTCACTTTCATTTGTTTATTTTTTTTGCCAGAGGGCAGCTTCATTTGAATAAATAAGTGATTATTATTTAAAGAAGCAAGCAGACCGAATAAAAATATGGGAACAATCACCTTTTGCAAAAGTTTCTAAAAAACTAACCGACTTTAATGAGGTTGAAAATTAGGTTTATCTTTTTTTTTTTTAGCTACTTGTTTCCTTCCCTGACATTATGTAATAATCACAGAAGCAGTGGACTAACTGCTTTAACAACTGCGGACAAATCCCAAAAGTCATTTTGGATATCATAAAAAAAAACACCGCCTGAGAGAAATCTGAGGCATTTTCTGGAGCAAAAAGTTGCAGCCAAGTGTCAAAGGTAGTGATTTAAAAAGTCCTAATAAAAACATAATACGTCTCCCTTCCGTGTGAACCGCGTCCCCTCGGGGTGTTTCCCAGAGGTTTCCTCTTTAATCCTGTATGTAAATCGCAGCCAAGAGATGCTGTTGTTGCGTTGGGCTGGGATTAGCAGGAGGCGAATGAGTTTCAATTTTACTGGATTACAGAACAAAGAAGGGGGAGAGGGACACCCTGCTCTGTTAAGGGGGGGGGGGGGAATAAACTAAGAATAAATACACAAATAATAGATTATAAAACGTGCGATCGAAGTCAACAGTGTGATGATCCGGATTACGATGTTTTAGCAGGCGGCACAGCTACATTGTGGATGGGAATCGCGAGCGTTTCCGATGGATTAAAACGGGGGAATGAACCTATTCCGGGATTGACAGCGGCAACAAGGCTCTTTAATCGCTAATTAAGGTGAGATTTCTTTGGCCGTTGTAACATTCATGAGCGGCTTTGCAGTTTGCCCTCGCCGAGCGCGTGCTTTTTGTGACATGTTACATGTGCAAATGACAGATTATAACCGTAATTTCTGGACGGGGTGGGGGGGGGGGGCGGAGGAGGCGAGGGAGGGGGGGGGGGGGGATGAAAGGAAAAGTGCTAGCGCCAGCTAGCATGAGAGGCTAACGCCGCGGAGCTAACGAGCGCGAGCTAGCTAGTTTGACTCTCAACGGTTTATTATGGTACCGTTAGCTAATGAGCCGGCGATGATTAGCTAACCTGTCGGTGAGTAGCAAAAACGGTGATTAGTTAGCCGGCAGTGGAGTCAGTTTAGAGGGACGTCTCCCTGTAACCTTGCGGGGGGGGGGGGGGGTTGAGGGGGGGCTAGCTTGTGTTTATGATTAGGACACAACGTCGCCCCCCCCCCCCCCCCATCTCCCCGTATGTATTGCTACGCCGGATAAGGGTGGCAACAAAGCCAGCTAGCTAACCTTAGCTAACCCTCAGCTAACCTTAGCTAAGGAAAGACGAGCAAGGGGAACGGGACAGTTTGAACTTCAGCATTTATAAAGCGGTAGTTAACTGACAAACCGGGTCAAAACGCAGTTAACAATGGGTTAATAATTGTCGTATTGCCGCGCACACCCTCGTATTAACAATGGAGCGGTGCAGCCTGTGTTTAATAGTATTATTATGATGCTGTGTGTGTGTGTGTGTGTTGTAGTCGGTTCAAAAGAAGCCACAAAGTTTGATCAAAGAAGAGTAAAAAGACGGCCGACTGGGAAGAAGCTTAGTCAGTCAGGCGCGTTGGAAATGAAGAGATTTGTTCACACGCTCGTTTCCTCTCGGAGGAGCGGAGCTTGACTTTATTGCGTTGCACCCACGTTTCACATCCTGTGGTTTGCAGCCTGTGCGGGTCTCCGGCTTTCAGAGTAATTCCCCCTCTCCTCCCATGTGATGGCAATTTTAATGGTACTTTTCCTGCCAGCACAAGAAGTTCTCTCTCTACCCAGAGTCCAGTACCACCGCACAACAAAGTTATCCTGTTTGAAAGCTTTACATATTTGTCGTGTCCAATAATTCCCTATTAATAACCAATTAATCGGCATTGTGTATTTGTCTTAATTAACCCGTGACAAACCCACTGAAGGGTTTTGAGGGTTTAGGATTAAATGCGGTGGTCCTAACGTGTAAAGCTTGGCCTTGGTGGTCCTTTCCCTACTGATGAATCCTACTTTCAAAGGAATCACTACGGCAGTGATGACGTTCCCGAAGGCCTCGGACAAGACGCTGTAATCAAAGGGGTTGTGTTGTTGAAATTAATCCCTCTCACTTTATTCAATCAGGGAAAGAAATTAAGAAGAAATCCGAAACATTTATCGTAGGATCTTTTTTGACACCTGTGTTATTACACCCACACTTTATCCCAGCTAAGACTGCCCTTGATTGACACCTCTCCGGCCCTCCCGCTTGGCGCCTGGCACCTGTCGGTTACACTTCAGGGTAACCGACCGGCACGCTGCCAGTTTAAGCCCGTTGAGCCAGTCGGACGAAGTTTCCTCTCCATTTTCAAAAGGGCTTGCTGACCTCAATCCGCGGCCCGACGTGGCAAACAGCACGGACAAATAAACACGTGCTTCACGTTGTTCGGCGATTCCCACGTGGGAAATGTGCCGCAGGCCTGTGCGGACGCTTCTCAAAGAGATTACATGAAAGGCGTGGAGTTGTGTTACCGTCAAACAACGCGCCTGTGTACATTCTGTGCTACTCCCCTAATGGCCATTGTGTTTGTATCCTTTGTTGGCCTAACAACAGGTGAGCAGAGCGCCTCCTTCCTCGGGAAGAAAAGAAAACACCTGCAGATCAGGGGAATCGTGGGAAGCCACCTGCGCGCTTGTGTGCGTCGCCTTTCACACAAAAAGACACACAAACAGAGCACGGATCCACGCGTGAAAAGCCTGGCGAGTTTTCTAAGCTCTCTTTTTTGTGAAAAGCTCGGCACAGCGGCTGTCAGTCACGAGGTAGCCCCGCCCTAAATCATGCCAGGTCTTATGGTCTGTCCGAGTCCAAGTGGGCCGTCAATAAACTCATGTTTACAACGTTCGCTGAGAGAATAAATCAGGAGAGAAGTAGAATCATTTTCTCATAGACTTCTCTACAAACAGATTTTATTGCACAACCAGTGGGGACAGGATTAGGACACTTCCCCTTTGTCTTTAATCGTCAGACGCAGAGGTCGCGCCTGGTGTAACCACATAATCGCGTTACATACATACATACATGAGACCAGAAATGTTTGTCCATCCAAAACAATAGACAGACTGACGGGTTCCTCGCCTTCCAGACCAGCAGACCTGGTTTAAGTGAAAGTCTGGCTGTAAATATGTCATTTTTCACACCATGTGGTCATGTTTTGCCTCAGAAAGCCCCAAAAAGAAGCTTTTGTTGTTTGAAATCTGTCCCGAGAGCGACGATAGCTTCCTGTTTCAAATACAGAACCCGGTCGCCTTCGCTGACCCGTGTAGATTTTGACATTATTTGGATCTGCAGCGCGTCCGTCAGTAAACAGCTTCATTGCATTACAGAGCTCTTTGGGTCCCTCTCCAACGGGGTTTATGCAGTTTCTGAGCAATTCACTTAGCGGTTGGCTCCGAATGGCACTCTGGCGGTTTGCCCAGGACGTTAAGATGCAGAGAAAACCCTTCGAGATGCAGACGACCAGACATCAGGAGAAATGAAAAGAGGAAAAAAAAACTACTTTGTTAACCTTCTTTAGCAAATGATTTTCTAAACATTCCTCAGTAGGTTTCTCATGAGGTCCATTAGACCTTTTAAGGGATGCAACCATCCGATTTCTGTCAGTTCTGCTACGGGTATTTGGACTCTGCGTGATGGTCAATGCTGAGTACTGATCACGTTACTGGTTAATGAGCTGTATGTCTTACACCTCTGCTGATCCGAGCATTAGACCGCTGCTGCACTCCACTTTGTTCACATTGTGTCAAGTTACCAAACCTGCCAGTCCTACTTCAAAACCTGCTTTGAATAATGAGTAAGCTTTTTATAGGATTTGCATCTGAGAATCTTGGCTGAATCATTTTTTCATTCAAGCATCACAGTAGTTCCAAGGTTGTAATCTGCTGCCGGTGCTTTCCTCTGCAGAGCAGTTGACATGGTGGCACTCTTGAGCCGGAGCTTTTCCCCACCTTTCTCCTCCTCCTCCTCCTCCCCGCTGCTTCCCTTTTGCCTTTTTAAAGATGTGAGGGAAAGAGGCCATCTATTTCGAGGCCGCAATAATTTAGGAGGGGGCTAATGTTTGCTGTGGCCTCAGGGGAGGCAGATTTAGACGGCCAATAGACTCGGTGTGTTCAGACCGGTGCAGCTGAACCCCATCACACCCGCCCTCCTCTTCCTCTCCCTCCCTCCATCTCTCTATCTCTCTCTCTCTCTCTCTCTCTCTCTCCCTCCACCTCTCTCTATTGAGTCAGTGGTTTGGGCTTGCCAGAGGCGAGCATAATGGTTCCCAGTGTCTGGAGAGATTAAAGGCCAGAGCTGCATTGTTCAAATGCCCCGAGATTAGTTTCCAAGGAGACGGGCCTCAGTTGCCATGAGAACGTGGTGCCTGGTTTTTTAGCCGAGCAGCTCTTCTCTAACAGTTCCTATCTGTTTGCCCTCCATGCCTACATTTCGTCAGTGGCGTTATCTGGAGATTGGTGGCTTTTAGTTCCTAAGCAGGAAGTTTGTGTTTGCAGTTACGCGGCGGCGCTCTGCACGTAGTGGTGGTGGTGGAAACTTATCTCGGTCATCTCGGGTCTGCGTCTCATTTTCCTGTGCCATCTGTCAAGGGGGGAAAACGCTGCATAGTGAGGCTCATTTGACCTCATGCGAGCGCTCTAATTAGCCCCCAAATGACTATTCTCAGGCCCTAGAAGCGCCGTTTGCTGAATTCAGAGGGATTTGCGTTTTAGCCGCGTTAGGGGACGTCGGCCGGTCGACAACTTTGCTCCAAACTTTGCTCCAAATATCTCAAACTACTGGATACACCAGCAGCTCAAAGTTCCAACGTATCTCAACTTCTACTGGATGGAAGCTGCACAGACTTCCATGGTTCACAGATGATGAATCTGAAATAGTGGGTTTGAGTGGAAAAAGCCGCTTCCATTGGCAGCCTTCTAACAGGCGCTGCTTCCTTTGGTTGTCCAATCCGACGTGACGACAACTGAAACACGCGTTCTTCAGATTAAGCAGGAAAAACCAATGCACGCTTGCATTTGCTTAAAGTGAAACCCCGTGATGTCATCAGAAACTGCTTTGAATGCAGGTCAGCGGCGGCCCGTGAGCTTGAATGCGTGCAGGTGTTGTGCATTGTCCCGCCGCCGCCGCCTCCCGCCTCAACCGTGTTCTTGTGGTGCTCCGCAGAGGCATGGCTCAGATGAGGAAGCTGGCGTGCGACGGCGTCCGGACGACCTCCCGGGGCGAGCAGCTGGTGTCGGCCCGACAGGAGATCCTCACCAGCCTGGTGTCCGCCCTCGACTCGGTGGTACGTATGTCCCAGAAGGGGCGGGGCTTCTTTACGGACATCTCATTCTGCGGTGTGGAGATTATCTGCAGCTATCAGCCAATAAGTGAAAACCCGCCTGATAAACAGCTGCTTTTATCGTTCATGCAAATATGCAGTTAAAATTATAAATAATATGGGTGTGACTGCGACTTGATTTGTAGATTATAACTTTGCTTAATCGATTATTGTCTCTTTAAGGAAAAGTTAAAAGGTGAAAAGTTTGTTTTCAGGATTTCTGCTTTAATGTTTCAGTTGTGAGGATTAACAGGATTAACCTTCTCCAACTGAAATTACCATTAAATTACCATGAACTCCAAAATGTTACGTCATAGAAAGCCAGGCGATTGCGTTGCTGGGCAACAGCTCGGGGCCATAATTACTTCCTGTCAGCTGACGCCATTCACATGAACTGCAACTGGGACACAATGGGAACGTTTATGTTTACAACGTTTCTCAACCTGCTTTCAGCTAAGTAGCGTGAGCTCCTCCTCCTGCACGTCTCTGTGTTTTTGGACACAAGCACAGATTCATTTAAAAGCAAATAATCAAAGACAACAAAAAGGATTAATTTAGCTATGGAAGATCGTGATTGGCTTCATCGTTCATTATGAAATCTCTCCTCTAAGTCCCCGCCTGCAACAATCATCAAATGTTCACAGCCGACTTTACCGACGCCTCAGTTTAAGTCTCAGAGTTAATGTTAATGATCTGCTGAGGTTTTCCGTAATGACTCCCGGGTAAATGACGCCTCCTCGCCCCGCAGTGCATGGCCATGTCCAAGCTCAACGCCGAGGTGGCGTGCGTCACCGTGCACGAGGACAGCGTGATTGCCGTCGGCACGGAGAAGGGCCGAGTGTTCCTCAACTCCAGGAGGGAAATCCAAACGGACTTCTACAAGTTCTGCCGTGAGTGTCGTCGTCGTTTCTCTCTCTCGATGGCGATGTGACCTTAACCTCGACGGGAAGTGGAGGCGCTGTCACGCGCTGTCACACGCTGCGGTCTGTTTTCTGTAAACACATCATTGCTATTCTTTATTTTATTTTTCATTCACAATAAGCTTGTCGGAGGCTTTTTTCCAGTAGGGTTGCAGTTGCTTTTATACAGTGTGCAGAGGTTGAAGTCAGAGCGCTTGACAGGTGGCCTCTCAGTCACACACATGGAAGCCTTCGTTTCCTATAAACAAACTAGTATGTGTAAGCTGAGGCATGTCTTAGATTAGCTTCGATCCAAACCTGTTGACCTTGAGTGCTAAAGTGAAACAGCAAATCACACCCTCAGCATGTTTCTGTGCACCGGGTTTGTGAGTAAACCACCTGTTATGGTTCACTGTTATCTAGCCAGTTATTCAAGGTGAAAAGAAAAGAGAATGTTGTGTTGCACTTTGCGAGATGTGATCTTTGTCGTTTGGCTCTAAGGGGGGCCGTGTCTGCAGAGCCTGGCCGCAGCTAACGCTCATACCAAAGACCAGGAAGGCGATCCCGGCAAACTGAGTAAGGATGGCGAGCACGGGAAATCAAGAGCGCCATCGGACGTTCAATCCAACATCTTTGTCCTGAGGAAGATGGTGGAGGAAGTCTTCACTGTACTTTACAGTAAGAACATTTTATGCCATGAACTCTTTTGATAAATGGCTTCACAGTTGTGGAGATGCGTCGTTTTATGGGACGGCGGGGGGTGAGATTTGGGCCAATGACCCGTCCATGTGATCGATGGTGCTGCTGAGTGCGGCGCATTGTTACAGTTCAGTTCCGTGCATTTCTGGACCCGTTATTGACCTCTTGTCTATTTTGCGAAATGCCTCAGCGTGACTCGGTACAGCTTTGCAACCCTCCAAAGAACCCACGGCGCTTTGTGCCTCGCGCAGGTGAGGCCGTGGGGAAGAGCAGCCTGGTCCCCGTGCCTTACGAGTGGATCCAGAAGGACCCCGGCTGTGTGGCGGCCCGCGGTTTGCCCGACGGAGTCGCCCTGAAGAAGCCCTCCGAGTACGACACCAAGACGCTGATGAAGATCCTGGAGCAGAGCCACCGCATCCGGTTCACAGTCAAAAGGTCTGTTGCTCCTCCTCGCGCCGCCGCCGGGCCGCTCCACAATCTTTAGCTGCGCCTCTGATGCTTTGCAGAGGTCACACATCTGTGCGGGCTTCTCCCGGGGCCACTTATTGGTAGCAGGAGGGCTACAGTGCATTAGTGAGGAATAGACAAACCCTCTCTAAGGCGGCATGTTTGTCTCTCACTCTATCACAGATTTACGTGGCTGTAACTGTGTGAACAAAGCCTGAGCTCGGCCAGTAGGTCTCATCATTTATTCAGCTTACGTACTGACTGGCTGCAGCGAGGACAGGAGGTGGGATGTCATGTGGGAATATAATAAACTGCTTTATATTCAGTTTATGTGGCGTCGCTGTGATGGAAATACACTTTCAGCTCGAGCTGGTCAAGGTCATCAAATTGTGCCACAAGACTGAGCACGATGTTTTTTTTATCTGATCCAGAATCAACATTTCATTAAAGCCCCTTTTTGACTGGAGGAACCTTCCCCGGGGATGTGGAAGCGTTGCACCACACGGACCAGGGTCTGAATTTAAAAACGTTCTGGTGCGAGGTATAATACAAACTTTATTTTTATGACGTCTATGGCTGTCTTTCATAACAAGGAAGCGCTCCAGTATTAATCAAACTATTTCTCCTGGTCAGACAAAATAAAGTTGGGCTTTGCGGTCAAATTCTACACACGCTTTGTTTTTAAAGTCAGTAAGAAAAAAAAAAAGGGTTTGTGACTTTTTGCTATTTTTCTAAATGTCGGTTAGCGGTTAAGTTCTAAAGCACAAATAAATAACCATCAAACACTCAACAGATGGTTGAGTGCATCTCATTGCTATGTGCATCGGTAAACAGCGCGCAGCACTAAATGTCGTCGCCGTGGCACAGAACCAAGGTTTATATTTTCCCGACGTGATGAAACAGGCGGACACAAAACCGCTGGCTGCACAGGGTTTTTCACCCCGGAGTCATCAGCGGCGCCATGGAAACGCAGACGACAATGAGCCGAAGGAAGCTTTCAGTTTTCCATGAGAAGTTTCCCCGGTACTGAAATGATCAGCAATCAAGAAGCTTTAGTGACTCCACATTTACCGACATTTAGCGTCACTTTGCTTAAGACATCTCTATTTTAGGGCATAACCGCTGTTGATAAAACTTTCACTCGTTCTAAAAGTTATCAAGGGAATAAGGTGGAATTGGTTTATTTACAGGCCGGCAGAAGATGTTCCCCGGGAAGCCAAGCCCGGCGCCGACGTCAAGCACAACTCTTCCGCCGCCGCCACGACACCAGGCAGCCACGGCGCGGGGAAGGCCGCCGCCCACGTGGTCCCGTCGCCGAGTCCTGCCTCTTCCAGCAACTCTGTCCTGTCCAACTTTCTCTACGGCATGCCCATGTCCTCCAAGCCCCACCCGGACGGCAAGCTGGATTTCAAGCCCATGTCCCTCCTCAAGCTGGGCAAGGACCGGCTGGCCAACTGGACCGCGGGGACGGACAAGACGAGCACGTCCGCCAACGACTGCGCGGCGAACGGTGAGATGTGCGCGCGGGCGGTCCGACTGTTTGGATGGGATTCCAGCAATGAGCGTCAACATTGGGGGCATTTAAGAAAAGATTCAAGATTGAGAGAACGTTCACAATTATTGTCATAGTCATAATGAAACTGAAAATTCTCTATATGACAAAAATGTATCTCTGAGTGCTTCCTGCGCCTCCGGATCGCCCTGCAGGAGGGGAACGCTTTCAGTGTTCTTTGAAGTCTGATTATGATAAGGCTCATTATCTCCCTCAAAGCTGCACTACTTTTATGGAATGTTTCCTGGTTTTACACATATCTCTGGATGAGTCCTTTAGCGCAACGCAACCAGCCGTCAGGGGGACTTGTTTACCATCCATCCTTCCATCCATTCATACTTCCATCCTTCCATCCATCCATACTTCCATCCATCCATCCATACTTCCATCTATCCTTCCATCCATCCATACTCCCATCCTTCCATCCATACTTCCATCCATCCATACCTCCATCCATACTTCCATCTATCCTTCCATCCATCCATACTTCCATCTATCCTTCCATCCATCCATACTCCCATCCTTCCATCCATACTTCCATCCATCCATACCTCCATCCATACTTCCATCTATCCTTCCATCCATCCATACTTCCATCTATCCTTCCATCCATCCATACTTCCATCTATCCTTCCATCCATACTTCCATCCATCCATCCATACTTCCATCTATCCATCCATCCATCCATACTTCCATCTATCCTTCCATCCATCCATACTTCCTTCCTTCCATCCTTCCATCCATCCATACTTCCACCCATCCATCCATACTTCCATCCATCCATCCTTCCATCCATCCATCCATACTTCCATCCTTCCATCCATCCATCCATGAATCCATCCTTCCATCCATCCATTAATGCAACTATGTTGCCATCACACTGTGAACAAGACCAACACATAGAAAAGTAATGTAAAGTAAATCTCAGCTGGTCTTTCTTCATTTTGTCAGGTGATGAGATGATCTAGTCAAGGATCCGGTATCTACCTGGATGCTAAGTGAACATCTCTGTGTATTTAATTTTCAGAGGATTCCACAAGACCACCCGGGGATCAGGGTCAGAGCCCTCCTGGCATCCACATCTCCAAGAGGCTGCTCTTCTCCATAGTGCACGAAAGATCAGGTGAGACCACGTGCACAACACCGGTTCATTGGTGATCCGAGTCGGACACACTGAGACAGTTCCCCTCTATCACATCTTTTGTCTCAGCCAACATTTGTATGTTTTAATGTTACCGAGAATATAGTGACACGCCTTGTGAGCCCCCATTATTGAGCTGCATCTAAAGGTGTGAACGAGTTGAGCTGCACAGAGCACAATGTGCTCAATATTTGCCTAAGAGTTCCTCTTAATTAGCTCTAAAGTTTAATGTCATGGCTCCTCGTGGTTTTAAACCATACGATTATAAGTGAACTTTAGCTGCTCGGAGGATTTTGTGTCCTTGTGACAGATTTATATTTAAAGGCAAAGACGGTACCAGTGTTCACTGTCAATGATCATTAATTCCAGCTCCGAAAATATTGGGCAGCGGCGATTAAGTGACAAGAAGTGCTGCACAAAAAGACGTTTGAGGTAGTTTAGAATCTGACACCAACATGTTTTTCAACTGTGTCATCTTCATAACCAAATGAAAGAAAAGGGTCAGATCAGAAAGGGTTTATATATAATATATGAATATGTTGTCACAAAGGTATGTTTACGGTTCACATCAGCCTCACTAGAAGAGGTTTTTCTGCTTGTATTAACATGCAATGTGTTCAAAACAAAGGCTAAACTGTACTAAACCTGAACACCTAAGGGCTAAGCTACTGAAATGTCAAAAGTAATCGCATGAAGAGATTGCAGTTAGTCACAAGTTGACATTCAGTCAATGGAGGAGATTATTTTACTTGCATTGAGCTAAAGCCCAATTCCGTGTCAACGGTGGAATAAACCGTCCCAGAAGAAGCGTCCGTGTGTCCGTGTGTGTGAAAGCGTCGACAGGAAGTGTTTCCAATAAGTCTGTTTCTTACAGAAAAATGGGACTCTTTCATTCGGGAAACTGAAGACATCAACACGTTGAGGGAATGCGTTCAGATCCTGTTCAACAGCAGATACGGTGAGCGTCTCGCTCTTTGTATTTTCTGTCTTCGTGCTGGTGGGGGGACGGGGGGTGTGTGGGGTCGAAAAGTGTATCTCAAAAAGTGGCTCCTCCAGCACAGTGATGATTGCGTGCGTATCTACGCATCCTGATGGATTGGGGTCAGTGCATCGGTTTGATCATCTTTTACTCTGTGATTCACAAGACATGTGTCTGTACACGCCGTTAAGTCCCACTAACCCCCCCCGCCCGCCCCCACCAAAAAAGACTGAAGGAAGAAATGTCAAGCAGATCTTATATTATAATATTTCCATCCGTTTGCCACTTTGTTGCAATGATTGAACAGACGCTCCGTGCTTATTCATCATCCTTCTCTTTCTTTCTTTCTAATTCCTGCTGCTCTTTGCTTCCTGGTGCAGCCGAGGCTCTGGGTCTGGATCACATGGTGCCTGTCCCCTACCGTAAAATCGCCTGCGACCCAGGGGCCGTGGAGATCATCGGCATCCCGGACCAGATCCCCTTCAAGAGACCCTGCACCTACGGGGTCCCCAAGCTGAAGCGCATCCTGGACGAGCGCCACGGGATCCGCTTCATCGTCAAACGGTAACCGATGCCCTTCAGATCAGAGGAGCCGTTTTTAGTTTTTTCGGGGGACCTTTGGGATGCGATTGTGGCATGAAATCGCCTTTTTAAATAAGCAGCCGGCGTGCGAGGCGGCCTGCGCGCTTCGCACGCCAACTGGTTGAGCCATTTCCTGTCGTGGCGCAGATGAGTCCTCCCCCTCTCCGGCGTATCGCGCCGCTCTTCCATCCGTTTGTTCGGGCGGATTTAAATGAGCCGGCGTGCCTCGTTGGAGATAACGCATCTTTTACCCGGTCCTGCAGGCAGCTCATTAGTGGTAATAGAATTAGAAAAAGATTGAGATGTGAATTATTTCAGAGTTGCATCACATTCCCATTGTTACTGAGAGACGGTCCAGATGTTTTCTTCTGGCACGCTCTTTGTTGACAGACTTTGTTCAATTAAATCCGTCCGGTCGTCAATTATAACGTTTGGCAGCTTTAACTGGAACCTCATTTGGAGCTGCAGCCTCGCTGTTAATTACACCCAGATGACATCACAAGTAATAACGACCGCATTTTAAATCCACTTCATAAGCCGCTCAGTTTCGGATAAATCAAAGCTCACTGGAGTGCTTTTTAAAAATGAATTGTGGTCCAAAGTGTGTTGTGTTGACGGCTAATGGACGTGTTACATGTGGCACAGATGTGCACGGTGACCACACAGCGTTTCATTTTGCAATGCAAAGAGGAAGCAACAAGAACAGCTCTTCTCCTTTGTGTTACAGGCACAGCCAGGTTTGATGCAAATTCAGTTCATTTAACTTTATTTTTCCAGATGTGTGTTTCCAAAGTCGATGAGTTATTTTGTTTGGATAAATCGTTATATAGATTCTCACTAATTTCCCAAAACAGCTGCTGGCTGATAGTTTTTTGCTAAAGAAATTCAGAGGAGACTAAACAGTCGATCTTGGGAGGGACTATTTTCAGCGGCGCATTAATCCACATCTGGGCACTCTGGCAGCGAGTAGAGTTCCCAATAAGGAAAGAAGGCGTCGCCCTGTGACATGTGACAACGAGGCCTTTCCTCTAGTGCCCCCCTCAGACCAGACTCCAGAGCTCCTCACCCCGCCAGAGGGGAACGCTGTTTCTCCGTGGGGCTGCAGACCCCGATACACAACGAGGACACCCGGCTTTAACGAGCCAAACAGCTCCTCGTCAGTCCAACCGCACACGATCCCCCTCATCCGACGGCCCCACAAACAGACAGAAAGACAGCAGGCTTCAGGGAGCAGTTGTGTCTGTAGATGGAAGGCGATGGCAGACTGGGGGGGGGCAGTGATTTGCATCGAGGGGCAGAAACACTCTCAGAATAACGCCCGTCTTCTCTTTGTCTTCCAGAATGTTTGATGAAAGGATTTTCACCGGTAAGATTCCTCCTTTTTTTTTTATGAGCTGTGATGTGACCTCGTCGATTAATATATTCATCCGCACCTTCACGCCGCCGCCTCTTATTAGGGAGGAGAGATTTCAATCTGTTGTGTAGTTTATAATAGTTTACCTGCCTGATGTCACGCTGTTGTTTCTTCACTGGGGTTCTGATCTTAATTACCATACCTGAATTATCAGACAAGATTAGATTCAAACAGACATATATATATATATATAATTACAATTCTACACATATCGTTTGAGTAGGTGTGTAGCACTTTGTTTACACATATTTGAAAGTAGCACATGGACGACCGTATTGGAGGCACAAGTTTATTATTCACCCCCAGCTGAAGGAAACACACCCGTGCCGTCACACATGAGTGAATCATCGACATCCTGCAAAAGGGAACTCTGGGTAAAATGTCTTCACTTCATCTCTTGCTTTGTGAGCTCGACATTCGGCCGCACAATACGGTTAATTACCGGAATTAAAAGTCTTTATTTTATATATTTACAGCCCTCGGATGTTCCTCGCTGATGTTTTGTTTATCTTCCCTTATCTTGTTTGTCAAAAAAATATATTAAAAGCCGCTGGCAAGATGGCGAGGGAGGAGGGCAAGCACGACCCGGGCTCCGTGCCCGAAGACGGCTTTCTGGACAACCTGTGCACGCCGCCCGCCGCCGCCGAGCCGCTGGGCAACGCTCACAGCAGCAGGTGAGCAGGTTCAGTAGCGCGCACACACACACACACACACACACACACACATTGTGTAACCTGGAGGGAGGGGCGTGATACTGGCAGAACCCCGAGTGTTTATATCTACCTTGTTTATTACTATGTGCCACAGCTGATGAGTAAATACATAAACTGTCATTTCTCAGAATAACAGGCGTTGTCATGTAGCCGGGTGGTGTTTTTTTATGCGGAATGCTTCACCTATAAAGGGAAGTGGCGGCACGTTGCTGGCTGACGCACAGTGCAAATGGTGAACTTCAGGGGGAAGTAATTCCTCTAAGGCGAATCATTCACCTTAAGTGTCGGCAGCCGGTGTCGAGCCTCCGAGCGGTTCTTGTGTCGCCGGCGTGCTTGTGTATTTATAATGAAGCCGCTTTAATTCGGGAGTCACCTGAGTGTGTTTTATTTAATCTCACAGATCAGCGAGTGCGTGCGTGAGTCCCCTGGCTGACTGTGAAGCAGGTACGTGCAGATAGAAGCATTTCTGCATCATTTAGACCTTTTTGTTCGTATCTCTCACAGTCTGATGTAACAGAAGCTTCCAGTAGCAGGTTTTTAAAGCGACGTCCGTGCTCTCTGGGAGCCTCTGAAGGCGTCGCGTCGTGTGTTGCAGTCCAGCCACATGCTGTGAATCTGTTTAACGCGGCCATGAAGCACACTGATGGGAAGGGTTTGATCCCCGCAGGTCCTTCAGTAGATTGCATTCCTCTAAAAAGGATTAAAACGGAGCCTCCAGATGGGGACATCATTCAAGTCACCGTGCCAGGTAAGAAAAGTGTCGGACTTTATCGTTCGCCCAAAACATCGTTACCGCGGTTACTCGTCTCCAACCGGCAAGAAGTGACGCGGAATGTGGACCGGAAGTAATAAATACTCTATTTAAACACTGCGTGTGAGACGCGAGCACATTGAGCATGTCGGGCGTAGTGTGCGATTGTGCGTGATACACGGATGAGGGGGGGGGACGCTGTAAGAATCCGCCGTTTGTTCCGTCAGAGGCCGGCCCGGTCGGGGAGGAGTCCAGCGAGTCCACGGCCGAGCCGCTCGCGGCCGCAGCGTGTCCAGCCGCCGCCTCCCCCGCCGCACCGGCTCCGCCCGCCGCATCGGCTGCACCGGCTCCACATCCCCCGATGGAAAACCACGCAGGTGAGCTCCCCCCACCTCCACTTCACCCACCTCCTTTCCCACCGCAGCCGCCGGAGCACCAGCCTCCCCCCGCGGCCCCCGCGGCGCCGCCCTGCACTCTCTTCCTGTAGGGAGCTGAATGCCACACGTATGAAACCGCTTCGATCCCTTTTTTTTTTTTCCCACGTCCCCCACAACCAAACTCTCTGGTAGCCCAAGACCCCCACCCTCAACAGAAACCCCCCCCCCACACACACACTCCCCAAACTTAAAGCCCCACCATAGCTGTCCCCTGTGAAAGGCACCACACATCCTTGTAGTCCACAATGATTAGAGATGTGTTAGAGCCCCCCCCCCCCCCCCCCGATGCTCCCAAATCCCTCCTCCCTCTAACATAAAACGGGTAACAGGTTAAAACTAAAGATGAGTAAACTTCTCTCTCCTCCTCAACCGGCTTCATTCAGTACAAGAACTCACAGGAATATGTGTGAACCCTTTAAGCTCTCCTGCCAAAGACGCATTCAATGCTTAAATGTAAACCCTTTCATTTATTTATTACCTTTTATATGTAAAGGTTAAAGAATGGCCATAAATGATCCTGGACCATTAATGCCTCTGTGAGGAGGGACGTTGTTTGTGTCATTTAAAGCAAACGCACACATGAGCGAGGCCCTCAGAGAGGGAGGAGTCTACTCCATGTGATCTTATTAGCACGTCATGCTTCCAAGAGGCGTTTTGTTTTATTTTGTTGATTTTAATTGTGCTTTGTTTAAGTTTTCTTTTCTTTCACAAATGACCACTGAAGGAGAGAGAATGAAGGTAAGTGCAGCAAATGTCACACGTAGAATTATGCTTTTCTGTTGCTATTTTCTAACACAAGCAGTAAAGTGAAAATCAATGGTGGACTGAAGAGTTTCGCGCAGAAGAAGTCGGCTCACCGCTGCGTCTGTCGTCTCCTCAGTCAGCCGCTTAAAATGGAGCCGCAATTAATTAAATAAAATGCAATAAGTACTGCGGGAAAAAACAGCTGGTAATGATTTAGTGCGTTGACTCACAGCGGCTCGGTTGTGTGATTGTGTGCGTTTGTTTCTCCCTGCAGCTGAAGCTCTGTCGCCGTGCGCTGCGTCTCAGAGCCTCAGACGCTCCTCTGAAGGTACCGACTCGTCCTCTGTTCTTCTCCTGTTCTTCTTTTAAAACAGTCTCTCGACGTGCTGTTTTCACACTGCTCACAAGCATCGATCAACCTTTGAACTTCAAAAACGGTGCTATTCAACTTCCACGTCGGCTCTACTTCCTCCTGCTCCTCTTCCTCGTGTCCCTTTGTCCGTTTGTCGCTCTGAGGTTGTTTGTACGTTTGACTCGACCAGCAGGGAGTCTGGTGGAGGACATTGGTGAAATGATTCTTCAGCTCCGGAGACAAGTGGAGAGCCTCTTCAGCATCAAGTATGGTAAGCTGCAGCCCCCTCCTCCCTCCACATGCACATTCAATGACACCACGAAACATAAGAGCTGCTCGTCTCCTCTTCCTCAGCCGACGCGCTGGGCCTGCCCGAACCGGCCACGGTGCCCTACTCCAAGTTCCAGATGTACCCGGAGGACCTGTACGTCAGCGGGCTGCCCGACGGCATCTCCATCCGCCGGCCCAACTGCTTCGGAGCGGCCAAGCTGCGCAAGATCTTAGCCGCCCGCGCGCACATCCAGTTCGTCATCAAAAGGTGAAGAGCCGCGCGGGCCGCTTCCTCTTAATGCCGAAGGCTTCGCTCCGCGCATCACCGCTTTCCTCACTCTCTTCTCTCTGTGGTCGTTGTGTTTGTCTCCAAGGCCCGAGCTGCTGACTGAACAAGTGAGACTGGAGATGCCTTCAATGCCCATCTGTGACCCAGGTAGGTTCTAGAAAAGAGGAACACGTTGCACATGTCCTTAACCCGTCGTCATTTATTCTTCATTTTGCCCACGTCGTTCATCCTGCATGCGAGATGTACGCTGTCAGCGAGTCAGAGCACGACATTTCCCATGATGCTTCTGGGTTCAAGGGCTGCTCGTTTGCACCAGCGGTGAAAAGGGAGAAAAAAAAAGCTCCTCCGTGAATTGATTCTCTTCACAGTATCGGAATCCTGCAGCAGTAACATTTCACCTCCTGCACCTGCAGTGAGGGCTCTTTAGAAGGGACGTCCCCGTCAAAGACAAAGCAGCGCAGCGGACGGGAGGGAGGCTGCGAGCAGAATGCTCCTCAATGTGTAAAGTGAATTATGCAGCTTTCAAGATGCGATGCTCTCAAGGTTAAATCCAGTCCATGTGCGATTTAAAAAAAACCAGAAAGTCCCTGCAGGGATTTTCCTGCTGCCTCTTCTTTCTTTTCACGTGTGACAAAGCCCAGCTGCTGGATGAGGAGCCGCTCTCCACTGTTTGTTGTTGCCGGTAAATCTCAAGAGGCGACGGAATCAACCCTTTAACCCGTCCTTTGTTTCCCACAGAGCCGGACGCCGCCGCGGATCCAGTGACGGAGGAAGGCGCCGCCGCGTCCAAGAGACCCGCTTTCTCAGGTGCGTCACATTTGATGGAACATAAATGTGCTTCTGTGTCGCACTTCTCACTTCAAAGGCTGAGCTTCTCTCTGAAGAATGGAGATTATAAAAGAGCAAACTGTCCCCCCCCCTCCCTCAGAGTGCCTGGAGTCCAAGCTGTCCAGGATCGACTTGGCCAACACGCTGCGCGAGCAGGTCCAGGACCTGTTCAACAGGAAGTACGGCGAGGCGTTGGGCATCAAGTACCCGGTCCAAGTGCCTTACAAGCGGATCAAGAACAACCCGGACTCGGTGCTCATCGAGGGTCTCCCCCCTGGCATCCCCTTCAGGAAGCCCTGCACCTTCGGCTCCCAGAACCTGGAGCGGATCCTGGCGGTCGCCGACAAAATCAACTTCACCATCACCAGGTGGGGGCCGCCGGACACGTGATCGCCCCCCAACAGCCCGCTCCCGTGTAATGGGACCAAACGGGGGGTTTAAATACGCAGCCTTCATGTTTAAATACTTAAAACATATTTAAGCATTAACCAAAACGACAACTTCATTATTATTCAGCCTCGACGACAAAGGCAGCGCATCCATCCTTCTGCTCTTACCTTTCACAATAAGAGCCCTGGACTTGTAATAGCGTGATTACATTGCAGCACCTGTTAAACGTTTAGCGTGTCTTTGTGTTTGTTCTTTGCAGACCGTTTCAAGGACTCATTCCAAAACCAGGTGAGAACAGAGGCTCATCCAATAACCGTAATGTAGCACAGAAAGCTCGTGTGAATGCGAAGTAACATCACGACTCCTGTGGTCCCCAGCGCCCCGACGCGTCACTTTACTGAAGAAGGCCTACGCCTCGATAAGCGGTGAGCAAACCATCTTCTAATCGGTGGAACAATCCGACTTCTTCCTGCCAGTTGCTTCTTCGGGGTCTTTTATTTTGTAAAGGAGTGCACCACCCGATCTGTCCTCTTCTCACAGACGAGGACGACATCAACCGCATGGGGGAGAAGGTGGTCCTTCGGGAGCAAGTCAAGGAGCTGTTCAACAAGAAATACGGTGAACATCATCATTCTGCGCTTCTTCATGATTAAAAGGGGACGGGGGGGCCTTTGGTCAGACGCTGCGCGCTCACACCGACACCAGCGCGCTTGTTTGGGCGGAGCTTGACGTCTGTGTGGCCGCTGTTGTCTCAGGTGAGGCTCTGGGCCTGGACCGCTCCGTCGCCGTCCCCTACAAGCTGATCCGCGGCAGCCCGGAGTCGCTGGAGGTCGGCGGCCTGCCGGACGACGTCGCCTTCCGGAACCCGAACGCCTACGACGCGGCGTGCCTGGAGAAGATCCTGCAGGCGGCGGACAAAGTGACGTTCGAGGTCAAGAGCCAGCTGCAGTGAGTGTCGGAGGCGGCTGAATGTTCCCCCGGGAGTCTGGGAGGGTTTTTCCTTCTATTTGCTTCTCTGCAGTTAAGCTCATTATGGTTTTATTCACGCTTTGGATTTTAAATCCAGCCGCTCTGAGGTGTCAAAGAATAAATCTTCCTCGGCGGGGAATGTAAATAATAATATTTTGACGTGGAAGCGGTTAAGCTGTGATGAAAGAATGGAGGCAGAGACGGGGTTTTTTTAAAGTTTATTTTTGTCTCCGTCTCTCAGACCTTTTGCAGAGATCTGCAGCCAGGCGTGTAACACGGGTAAGTCGAGTCCCTCTACCTGGAGCTCCGGTCCTCAAGGACGCCGGCAAGTAAAAAAAAAAACTCTGTGTGTCTCCAGCAGCAACAGACGCCTCCACCAATCGACGGAAGCGCAAGAGAGTCCAAGAGAGCAACCGGGTCCCCGCCTCCTCCGACCTGTCGACCAATCAGATCCCAGTGATGGTGAGTTCGGGAAAACGTGGTTCTGTGTTTTCATTAAACGACAACAGAAATCTACTGAGGTTTAACATTTAATCACTTCTAATGCAGTAGAACATACACAATAATAACAAGGTCAAATCATGACACAAATAAATGGAATAAAGCAGTGAAAAGAAGAAGTGATTTAACGGAGGCCAGATGATACACAACATGAGCTGAATGACCAACAAACAGTGACACTAAATGTTTAATCTTGAAACGGATCTGACATTAAAACGAGCATCCCTTTGTTTGCCCCCCCCCCGTCCTCGCCTGCAGCAGTGGCCCATGTACATGGTGGACTACAGCGGGGTGAACGTGCAGGTTCCCGGCAAAGTGAACTACTGAAGGACGGACCTGGGCCGCGGCGGAAAGGGGAGGAGTCTGCCAGGGCGCCGTTCACGCCTCTTCCACACCGACGCTTTGTCAGAGACTCAAACGGACGTGACGATCAACAGAATGTACTCGGATCAAAAGCGCGGCTTGTTTTGTGTGTCGGCGCCGCCAGGAGGGCCGTCCTTCTCCCTCCGAGGCGGATCGCGACGCTGACGTTGTTTTGTTTGTTTTTCCGTGAAGACGAAGACGTCGCTGACGTGTTTGTCACGTCGCTGTATCCGGCATTTGGCTGCAATGTATTACTGACACACACACACACACACACACACACACAAGAAAGCATCTTTGATAACAACCCCCCTTCCATAACATTCAGATATTTGTACTCTTTATTTATTATATTTATTGAAATATAACATTATGTGCAGGGATGTAAAATACATGATTCTGTGACACGGCTCACAACACTAACACGTCTCTCCGCTGGAATCAGATCAAACAGCCGCTCAGCGAGTGTGTTGATTAAAGGAAATTAAGAGGGCAGAACGCCGTAACACGCTCAGCACACGGCCTTTTTATGTTAGCGCCACATTAACATATTGTGCAATATGTCATTTTAAAGTCAGCCTGAATGTATCATGTAAAGGAAGGTATGTTATTACTGCGATGTCGATGAATAATAATGCTGTACCTTAACGCCCAATAAGCCTCTTCAAATTAAAATGTGTTGCCTTGCACTTCGCACTCTGTCGGTTTATTGTTTCTGGGGATGTTTAGTGGTTTTCGATGGACAAATGTGGTCCAACAAAACAGGAACACAAACGGGAGAGAAGTGTTCAATACATCGGTGTCATGTAGAGGCCCCGGTGCACCCTGGGGTTTTACCGCCACTATATTCTCCTCCCATAGAGGAAGCAGGTCGTACCCCCCCCCACCCCAAAGGTTTCTCTTCCTAAATGAATGAAGTCAAGAGTCGCGGTTTCATTTTCCTCTTTTTTTTTTTTTATTACAGCCCGTTACGACTCAGTTCAACTGTGCTGCAGCTCTGAAGAGCAGAAAAACGCACGTGTAACAGGAAGGGGGGGGGGGAGGTGAACAAGACGAGTTCAATGACCTTGATTGTCAGATGTTTTTAGCCTTTTTTTCTATCTTTTTTTTTTGAGGTCGGTCGCCCCCCCGGCCCAGTTACTGCACATTCAACAACAGGACAAATCACCACGTGGACGCTTATCGATTCGTGATGGAGCCAAATATATAAACCACCGGTGGTTTCACGTCCCAGAAGTATTACATGTGTATACTGACTTTGCTATGACAAGTTTCCGTGTGCTGAACACGCAGCTCGTCTTTCTGCAGCGACACTTTGCATAACCTCCCAATCCGGAAATGACCTGCCCTTTGACCTCTGGAGCCCGAAACCTGCCCGGCGGGACACGAAGCAGCTTTTCTACAGAACAAACGTCCCGGTCCTCCTTCCCTCTTCTACGACGCTTAAAATGGTTATATTCCGCTAAACACTTTATTCTACAGGTCTCCTTCAAATTTTGCCCTCAAATAAACAAGATTAAACACATTCAATTCTGAGCAACTAGGAAGCCGCCATTGATTTGTCACGTGACAAGAAACCTGTGAACCTTTGAGTTAATACGGGCGCCTCCGCTGCTTTTCTAACATTAGTAACGACGGATGTTCATCCAGTGTTTTTAAATCAAAGAAATTCCACTTTCTCTTTTTTAGCGATTTCCGGCTGCAGACGTGTTTCACTTCGCTCTTCTTCTCGCCACGGTTTGTGCCGTTTCCATCCAAGTGCATGACTTTTTATATATTGCAGTGAAAAAGTAAAATGCGTGCCCCCCCCCGCGGGTTAACCGGGAAGATCACACGTCTCGACTAAATGAGACGTCAGAGCTAAAGTGCTTGATGAGAGATTTCTGTCCCCGATACTGAGCTGCCATGTTGGTGGTGGCTGGACGAGGAACCTGACAGACACAAATCTCCAGGCTAAGGAGAGTTTTCTTGTTTTATAGATGTATATATATATACACATTTATAAAAGAGGAAGTTCAGTCTGCAGGATCACGTGATGAGCAGGAATGTGGTGGAGAATAAACCGCCATCGGCGAGTTCCGTCCGGCTCGCGCCTCCCGCTGTGCTCGCTCCGTGAGGTTTGGCAGATGCTGAATCGACTGAAGGCCGGACGGAGGCTGCAGAAGGTCCAGCTGGTCCGAGGGAAGTGGATTTTGAACTCTGCGGCGTGAAGCTCGGCGCCGTGAGCTAGCTGCTGCCGCCGCCGCCGCCGCTGCCCGGGGGCTTGAAGCAGTCCTCTGTCACGCCCTGAGACGCCAGCTCCGACAGGACGTTGTCCAGGTAGTTGGGGTCCGGGTAGCCGTGCCCCGACATGTTGGACAGCATCTCCGTCTTGTGGTGGATGCCGTTCCACACCACCGTGTCGGGCTCGCCGGTGGTGCTGGACGTCCCCACGATGAAGATGAGGCGCCGCATCCAGGCCACCTTCAGGAGCTCCAAGACCTGACGGAGGGAGGGAAAGATTTTAGATAATAATTCACAGTCCCTCAGTAGCCATTTTCACTGAACCGAGCCTGAACGCATCACAACAGGCTGAACGCTCGTTAGCCGTGCTGCTAACGCTGCTAGCTCGGATTTCACTTGTGTAGAAGCAACTATGTCTCTCATACAAGCGAGCGTCTTCAGAGCGGGTTCAGTTTTGTTTTTTACCTTCCTGCCCTTGTCGTTGTCGGGGAGGAAACAGAAGCGGGGGAAGCCTCTGCAGGTGTACGGCTGTCCCGGGTTGGGGTGCTCCGGGCCCTGGCGACATGGAAGGACATTTAGGCTGCATGGAGGGGAAACTGTGGCGTCTGGTGCTCTTAACCCCCCCACCCCCCAGCTTGTACGTGTTGGTCCACTTCCTGTCCGACCACGGACGACCGGCTGGTCCTTCGCCTGCTGTCACGTACCTGCAGGCCCGGCGGTATGCTGTAGATGATCTGGATGGTGCCGCAGTCCGGGTGGCCGGGGAGCGACTGGGCGATGCTGTAGATCTCCATCTTGCCTTTGGGCTGCGTGCCGGTCTTCTCTCCGTAGATTGTCTTACATGAGGGACACTGCAGACTGCCGTCCTGAGGACAGAACCGGGGAGACGATCAAACCAGAATATCCTTGAATATCTGTGGTTAGTGGTTACTTTAAGTGAGAGCAGAGGGACCTCACTGGCCTGCGTACTATCGTGTTTGTTTAATTCCGTGAAATAGAACAACAATAAGTTGTGTCTGCAGAGTCTTGTAATCACACGGCGGTTGCCAGGCAACCAGTGTCTGCGTTACGCTAACGACCCGACCAACAGACTGATCCTGATCTTCTCGGCAAATACCTGTAAGCACATTTCACTCAAATGTCAGAATATTCTCTGGAGACTGTTTACGGCCTCGCTCGAAATGTCAACGTCAGCACAGGCAGATCCCCCCCCCTCGCTCCCCCCCTCCCCCCTCGCCCCCCCCCCCCTACCTTGGTTCCGTTGTTGTACATGGCCAGCATGCAGAGCATGTGCAGGGTGTGTCCACACTTGATGAATTTCCCCACGGTGCCGGGCAGGATGCTCGGCCCCCCCTCCTCTGTGGGCTGCGTCTCGTAGCCGGACGGGTTGGACAGTTGGTCCATGCAGATGATGCAGTCCTGAGGGGGGAGCGAGGGGGGAGAGGGGGGGGGTTAAAACACCAACAATCCCTCTAAACGCTCTTCACTGCTCTGCGCGGGGAAACGTTTGACCCGCAGGCGCCGAGAGGGGAAGCGTTTACCTCGTCCTGCACGCCGGCAACCACCTCCATGTAGCGCTGGATCACGTCCTCGGGTCTCTGCGCCGAGGCTGGAGGGCGGGGAGCACAGCGGGATGAGAAACGGCGGCGACACGCTGACATTTACAGAGATGACAATCGGATGAAAATGAAATGTTACCGATGCCTACGTGCAGATAACAGAGAGGAGATCCTGAAATCATCAGATGTCTCTCTGACTGACGGATCAGTCCACGCCGTGACACCACGAAGCAGGGACACGCACACACGCCCCAGGGACACGCACACGCCGGCTCAGCAAGCGTAAATGTAGTTGCGTATTAACAGGTTAGCTGCTAAGAAATCATTTAAAATGTATATATATATATATATATATATATACACATTTATATATTCCGCAATACGTTTGGTGATTTCCGGAGCAGGAATTCAAGTGAGATGTCAGACGGCGAGGGTGGAGGAGGTGGAGCTGATGGGAGGTGAGAAAAGAAGCAGTGGGGAAGCAAATCCTTTGCATGAAGTGAATATGACGTACATCAGTCCGTGGTGGTTTCAAGTCGGCTGGATACATTATTTATTGTATTAATCATCGGTTTTAATCTGCAGGGAAACATCTGATGGAAGCAGGTTTTTTAAGAATTTAAACTTTCTGTGAAGACGGTCAGGGAGACGTTACATCTTTGAGAGCAGGTAGTTAAGAGGATGCCTTTGGGCAGAGGGGGGGGGGGGGGGTCAAAGGTTAGCTTTACCACATGATGGTTGCACAGAAAGCAGTTGCAGCAGCGAGGTGGAAGTGGATCAGAGCGCCCTTTAAAACACGACAGGACAAAGAGATGCAGAACGAAAAGCACCCGGGGAGGAGAGAGAGAGAGAGAGAGAAGGTGGAGGAAGGGCTGGTGGTGCCGTAGCTACCTCTCCTGTGCTGCCTCTTTGCTCTCCTAACTGAACTGCTGCTGCTGCTGCTGCTGCTGCTGTGGGGCTTGCTGGGCCTGCTGGCGGGGGGGAGGAGAGGAGGAGGAAGCGAGAAGGGAGCAGGCGGCTGTAGCGGCTGTAGCTGATGAAGCTGCTGTGGCGGCGGCGGCTGCTGCTGCTGCTGCTGAGGGAGGGGGGCAGTGGTGAAGTGTACGCCGAGTCCCACCGCTGACATCAAAATGGAGGCCATGCCTGGAGCGTGGGGAGGGGGGGGCGTAAGGGGTGAGGGGGGGGAGGGGTGGGGAGCAGGTGAGGGTTGAGAGTAAGTGGAGGATATGCAGGAGCAGGAAGGAACAAACCAAAAGAAAAGGATGAAGAATGTAGCAGCAACGACACGTTGGCTCCTCTTAAAGAATCCACGAGCACCTCCAGCCGCGAGGGCGCGCGTTTGTGGCCACGATGACTTTTCATTTCTTCACCAATAATCAGATCTATTCATTTGTTTTAGAGAAACTGTTCCCCGCGATGGGCTGGAGCCGAGTTACTGATTCCAGCTCATCAGAAACGGACTTCTGCCGAAGACGCCGCGTGACCGACCTTCCATTGGGAACGAGTCACGGGACGCCGCTTCTTAACCAATGAGGTCCCGGTCCGCTCGTCTCCTCGGGCCGACCCCGTTGATTCAAAACGCCCGTCGGTAATTCGAGACGTGCGCGGCGGAAAGGAAGGAATTGGCACCTTCGTGTGAAGAGTAAAAAGGTATCATAATGGCCGTGTATGAAATACGTGCAAAATAAAAGTCCACCTGCTGCAGGTCAGAGGTCACACAGCTTCTCTTGTTATGGGTTAATAACACAAAAGGTCACCTTCGTACGATCACGATTTGAAGCATCACAACATCACAATAAGCTCGAACCTGCCGCTTCGTCTGTGTCACCGCGTGACCTTCGTTAGTTACCATCTATGTTTTTACAGCCGCATTAAGTATTCTGCTACTTATGGAGGTTCGATGTATTTGTTAGAAGTCGCTCGCCTACTTTAGCCTTCATACAACAACCAAGGTGGGACCGAGCCGGTTTATGAGCATTGAATGAAGGCTCTTCACACTTTAACCTGGGGGGAGGGGGGGTAGTGACCCGTTTACCTGCCAGGGCAGAGCTCACGCTGGTGGATCCGTTCAGCTGCACAGAGATGGAAGGGACACTGCAGGACAGGAAACAAGGACGGAGACGTTGGGTCAGTACAGCACGGACGTTAACCCAAAGAAAGGACGTGACGACGTGTGAGGAGACGTTCAAACGGCATGAAAACCAGCGCAGCACAATGGGAGGAAACGGGAGGCTGACATCAGCGAACCTGCAGTCTGCAAGGAACCGCTAACATGACGCTGTCACTCAGTAGCATCGGGGTGTAAAATGTCTTAAAATGATGAATAAAAAATACATTATTGAACAGATGAATATGCAAATGCACTAAAAGGAAGAGCTCTATCTGACAACTTATATTTATATATCTATATAGATATATAGCTACAAATATAGATATATATTTATATCTATATTAGATATAGACTAAATTAAACTGAACTAGTGAACCCTGTGTTGGTCATTGGGGTGAGGGGGGGTTGGGGGGGGGTTGAGGGGGCGACGTGACAAAAGGGGCCGCGCCAAAGCAAACATGCCGCTGTGGGGCTGCAGCTACAGATAATCTTCTGTCATTCCTGTTTTTAAAAGACAGGTCAAAGCGGGGCCGACAGGAAAGACCGGGGGGGGGGGGGATGTGGGGGGGTTTGGAGAGGGCGTGATGTGACATGCATCCCTCCCAGGTCAGCCTGCTGCTTCACTCAAACCCGACTGCATTACACAGCAAACCAAACTGCAACACACACACACACACACACACTGGGGACCCACCTCAGCCCGTTGGCGCTGGGGGCGCTGGTCAGAAGCGGTGCAGACAGTTGGCTGGCGGACGGCGGTGGAGGCCAGGGGCTGCCCCAGGACATCCCCCCCACAGAGAGGGGTCTCCTGGGGTACGGCGAGTAGACAGAAGCGGGGTGAGTCGCCGCCGCGGCGGCCCTCCCCGTCGCTTGGAGACCGGGCCGGTTCAGGCTGCCCGATGAAAAGGAGTGGCGTGAGCGGCTGGGCATGGGTCCCGTGCTGCTGTGGCTCAAACACTGCTGGCAGGAGCAGGAGGGGCCTGAGGTGCCCGAGGCGCTCGAGGGGATGGCCGGGGGGCCGGACGAGGCCAGCGGGTAGGGGAGGTTGCACTGGCGCCTGACCTGCCGCCTGAAGCCCGTCGCTTTGTTCACCTGGGCCAGAGACGTGAGGTCCACGATGTAGTTGTATCCGTGCGGGCCCAGGTCCGCCGTGCCCTGGCGGGCCTGGTAGCTGTGCTCCAGGAGGATGGAGGTGCGAGTCTCGTACGGGGTCCACCCCCCTTCGTCGTTGATCCACTCCCAGTAAACACCACTGCCGAGGCCGGAGGACTGGGCGAACAGGGACCGGCGTACCGACCGGGTCTTTCCTGACAAAGACAAAGATGATTCCTGACTTAATACAGCGAACTCTCATCAATATCACAAAAGCCTCAAGTGTAAAACACGAATCCACGTTTTCAACTTGAAATCCAAAGTGAGGTTATAACAAAAGAAAGATGTCAGATCCTTTTATAAACATATGAAACATCATAAGCAAGTTCACCCTCCATATCAGCCTGTTCGGGGACCCGACGGTAACTAACTGCTGCTTTCCAACTTAACACGTCTCGTAGCGACGCGAGGTCACCGTTTGTTTACAAACCCCGTGTTGCCTTTTCGGTCCAACTCGTTAGCATCATCGGCTAAACTGAAAGAAGCAAAACGCCACACGCTAATCTCGCCGCCGCGTGAAGGGTCGCGGAGAAGGTGCGAGGACACGTCGCCTCACGTCAGAAAACACCACATCATTCGGTCGCAGTCGTGTGCATCATAACGTCACCCCGAGTGCTTAGCTTAGCTTAGCTTGCGGCTATGTAAACACTCTCCAAAACAACGGCGCCTCTGTTAGCTAATGCTAAGTAGCTAGCTAGCTAGCTTGCTTCACTATTAGCCCGGCCTGGTAACAGCGAGGCACAACATTGGTTGAGGGGTTGCGAATACGTTAACGTGGACGTGTTATGGCTCACCGGTGTCCTGTCGAAACTGTTTCAAGCTCGGTATGTCAATGAGATACGGCGACAGGCTGGGGTCTGATTGTCCGAGGCAGATGCTCGTTGAGCCGGGTCCTGCTCCCCTCTGGCCCCGCGGGGACAAACACCGCTCGATGTGGGCGCTCACTTGGCCGCTGTAAGGCCGCCAGTAGCCCAGGTCGTCCTGCCATTCCCACACCGCGATCATGGGCTGAGATTGCACGACCGACCCGGACGGCGCGGCTGACGGGGAAGGCCCGTTCCTGGAGCCGTTCACCCGGGCACAGGAGCCGGACACAATCGCCATGTTCACCAAAGCCAGCTTTAAGCTAACAAACAACTCGTTCTGGTTAACTGCTCCACTGATTGTGGCTACGACGAAAGAGAAAAAAGCGTTGCTAGCTCGGCTCGTTGAAACATGCCGTCGTAAACCGGTTAACACGCTTTAGAGGAAGCTATGAAGTAAATGCTGAAGGTCGGCGAGCCTAGATGAGCACGTATGTGCATGTTGACAAAGCTGGTGCGTTCACAGGGCTTAGCACGGATAACGTTAGCTTTGTGACAGCGTTGCCAGGATTCCATCCTCCTCGTCCTGCTGCCTTCAGGGGCTCCCGGGAAAATGGGATTTTCGAGGTTGCTTTGGGGGAGCGGAGCGTATATGTCTGAGATTCGTTTTGTTGGCCGTGAAACGTATAAATGCCAGAAAGCACCATATAAACAAATACTCACATCGGGGGGAATTTGGTGGTAACGATTTGGAATCAAATTGTCTTGAATTTAATTCTCTTTGCGGAATGTGTTGTGCCCTCAAGCATTTAGGAACATTATATCCAAAAGTAACACATGAGTGTTCTTCATTACCAGTGTTAGAAGAACTCCATGTACACATATATTCAATAAATCAACATAGAAAATACAGTTTTACTGTTTTGCGCACAAAAAGCGTCTTCTTCTCTAAATCAGTAGTTTACATGGTGTACGTGAAGGCCACATTCTTCTTCTTTTTTCAACAAACTTCTTCATTGTCCATCCTGCGTTTCTTTCTCTGCCGCTTCATTCAAAGGAGGTTACATCACCCTCATTGGTGTTGCTGCCCTCAGCTGGTGACGTTTGACACTTACACTCTAAATATATCCGTCTAAGACGTCAGGTTGTTTTTTTCAAATAATCTTTGAAACCCAACTTCAACTGCACAACAAAATAATATTTCTATTTACAACATAAGAGGCAGTTTTCCGCTGCCACAGTTGTCTACCAAGCTGACTTGAGCTGTATTAATAATATGTTATTTACATACATAGAGCAGGCTCAACTGAATCACACTGTGTTCAGTAAACCAAACACAATTTATGCAACATGGATTACAAAAATATACTAAAGATTAGAACAAACTGCTTTCTAATCTAAATACCACGACGAGGAGAATACTAAACGTTGTTTATCTGCAAGGTGTTATTAATCTCTAAGAGAAGAGAACTGAACTTGACATTTCTGACACCAGTTGGAACGTTGTTTTAATCAGAGCCCAAGTGAGATTTGGGAATTAACCCATAAACTGACACTCAATGCCACTCAATGGCAAATGTGAGGACTTTGCAAGATAAAACTAACATTGTTCTTCTTCTTTTGCTGGTGCATACGACGAGGACACAATATCTTCACACCTTAATAAAGAATAAGAATCGATAAATAACTACTGGCAGCCAACAATGGGTTCCCAAGTCAGTGGAGTCAAATCATTTTAACTTGGAGAACACGGCTTTGATTTATTGTTTGGGCAAAGGTCGTCATCTCAAAGGTAGCGCGTTTCTAATATCCTGCAGATGAAATGTGTCGTACACATGCGCCCCTTAAAAAGTAGAGAATATAAGAGAAGGTATTTTCTGTTCAACCTTTAGTTCAGCGGAACAAATAGACCTGGTTTTATTAGCTTAGATAGCAACACAAACGCCTCAGAGATCGTTCTACCTTCACCCCATTAAGACTGAGGCGGAACAACATTTGTGTTTGTTTTGTTCTCTCTCTGAGAAATGAAAGCGATCTGTGGATCGCGCTGAAAGAATCTTCATTCTCTCAGTCCCCCGGTTTCATAAGCACTATTTCCTCCAATAGTTAAACCATCTGGGTTAAACACCACGTGCTGCAAGGTCATGATACAATGAATGAGACGTGAGCGTGTGACACGGCAGAAGATACAAGAAGGAACGTTTCCCCCACACACGTCCTGTCATCATTGCCGTGGCAGCGGGTTGTTTAAAGCCGACAAAGGGACCAACAAATCTCACCAACAACGAC